TTTATGTGCCTTACCATAAGAGAAGGAGCTAAAAAAGAGTAGTTCATTGTTTTTGCTATTTAATTATTTTTATTTTTACGATTGTTCCATTCTTAAAATTAAGTGAGCTTTTGCAAAGTGCATTTATTGAGCTGATTTTGCAGAAAACATTAATATTACTTATGACCATGAGCTTAAAAGGGATATAAAATCATATTAAATGTTTTGCATCGTCTAAGATTAAGTTTCTAAAAATAAAATTACAATCACTTTCTTAACACTAAGGGCTGGATCTTAAAATCTAAATTTTCTAAGCAAAAAATTGAAAAAAATCATTTTTTAAATCTTAAACTCTTCATTAAAAATTGTTTATAGTATGCAGTAGTATTTGTAGAGTATAAAAATTGTCAAACATAAAAAAAACCTTATTTAACGTGGTAAAACTGATATGGACATTAAACCACATTGTTTACAAAAAGTATAATTTCAAGAATTTATATTAGTTAATAATAAAGCTAGTTATAACTTAGTGCAAAATAATTTTTTCTAGATTTCTTGAAAATATTATCTCAGAATTCAGCCAAATTCTATGAAACCTGAATTATTTTTAAAGCAAATTGTAACATTATTAATATTTAAAAATAAAAAGATGATGGAGTTTGTCATTTTCCATAGAATTAATTATGAATTATGAAAATTACTTTATTAAAAATGGGTAGAATAAAAAACCTTTCCATACTTTCGCAATGGGGAGGAACCCTTTACATTTTATTTCAGAATCTTAACTAAGGAGAATGTCCAATTTATGTATTCTTTTAAATTGTAAAGCATTAAATTAGGTGATTACTTTAATGTAACTAATTATAATTAGTTAAGACAAAAAAAAATGTGTTAAGATATGTTAAAAGTCATCAAGGACTTCTATGGACTTAAATTAGAGCTGTAAAAATAGATGATTGTCTAAAATCAAATAAAAAATAAGATTAGCCTTTTGTAACAAATTTTAAATACTATTGTCTGGAAATAGGTATTTAAAGTATCTTTTATTAATTAGTTCACTTCATTAAAACATATTTTTGTGAGTAACTCACTTTTGGCATACACTAAGAATTAACAATTAATACTACTAAATACAAAAACACCAACCACTCTTTAACAAAAGACAAAAATTTTCTGAGCGTCCAGCAGTTTATGGAACTTAAATTTTTTTGGAAATAAAAATCGAATCATGTTAAATGCCCTGGATAAATAGCAAATTTTTCAATGAATCTAAGTAAGAAATTGATAACTTCCTCACATTCAAAACACAGGTGTTTTGTTTTTTTGGCTATTACTTACAAATGTTTTCTTGACAAATATCCAGACATTAACAGGATTTTACTCATTATTTGTCTTTCTTTTTAAAGTATGATTTAAATTGATATAATTAGATATTTAATCGAGTGTAGAAACACACATAATAATTTGTGAATATATTTAATTGAATCAAACTCTAAAAAAAGAGATTTTTAATTCAAACAATATCTAGTTTAATGCAAAATAGATCAGAAAAGATAAAACAGAAAACCTTAAACAGAAAGAAAGGGATAAATCTGTATAAGCCAAAAGTCACTCATAAACTTTTTACATTTCTTGTAGAGCAAGCCGCTCTCCAGCATTTTTATTGCCTTACATTTACAGTTTGATCCTCAAAATTGACTAGAGAATGGTCCATTTAGTTACAAAAATAATGATATTGTTTAGGTTTAATGTCTTTATGTAATCCTGTGTTGACTATGAAGTATGATTTAAATTGATATAATTAGATATTTAATCGAGTGTAGAAACACACATAATAATTTGTGAATATATTTAATTGAATCAAACTCTAAAAAAAAGAGATTTTTAATTCAAACAATATCTATTTTAATGCAAAATAGATCAGAAAAGATAAAACAGAAAATCTTAAACAGAAAGAAAGGGATAAATCTGTATAAGCCAAAAGTCACTCACAAACTTTTTACATTTCTTGTAAAGCAAGCCGTTCTCCAGCATTTTTATTGCCTTACATTTACAGTTTGATCCTCAAAATTGACTAGAGAATGGTCCATTTAGTTACGAAAATAATGATATTGTTTAGGTTTAATGTCTTTATGTAATCCTGTGTTGACTATGAATTTTTGGTAAATTAATCATCAGCTCTTTTTGGACTGATGATAATCGACAGCCTTCTATCGTGATGTAAGTTGTAGCCCTTCATGAAATATGTTTTTTTATTATCACTATAGTAAAGTCCTAACCTACAAGTTTGGATACATATGTTTAATTCAATAATTATATTTAACAATTATAGGTCACATAATTTCATGTTAAAATGCTGTCTGAATTCTCCAAGTGACATTCTCCAGCAGTAAATATAATAAAACAGGAGAAAAATAAGTGCTTTAATTTAGTGATAGCATTTAGTGATGCTAAATTAAGTAAAGTTCTTGATTTAAAAACATTATTGAGAATAAGAATGGTGTTAGTGATATTTTAGAGGAAACTCCTTGATTTAAAACTCTGCTCAACATTGGTTAATAAAATTATTTGGGTTATGTTGTTTAGTGGATGTTGTAAGTCATCATAAGCAACAAGAAACCATATCAACATATACAATGTAAGTGACTGTTATAGTAGCTCATAACTTGACTAAACATTTCAAAGTGACTGTTTTCATAGGATTTAATTGAGCTTCTCTTGCCCAAGTAACTGATAATTTAAGATAGGCAAAGAAAGTTACATTAGACAACAGTTTATTGATAAAAGACATTTTTGATGGAGTTAAACTATTATGAACTTTGTGTGAATTACACCCTTACTTATTGATTAAAAATGGGGCAAGTGTGCTAACACAATAACAATGGCACAAACCCTTTTATAAATGAAATATAGTGACAACAAACACACAGTTTTCTGGTTTGACAAAGGGAAAATTCTTCAAAGATTTGGGTGATTTAAGTATATGAAATATCACTTTTTTCAATAAACTGATATCCTTATTGACGTGAGTAGTGGTCGAGGAAAAGGTAGTGGGAGATAGCTACAGCTGAAATAGGCCAAAGTAATTAATCATGAGTACGAAAAGAACCCCTCCTGCCTTTGTGTAATTCTACAATTACATGTTTTAGTTGGAATATTTTTTAATTCACTTATTTCTGTATTATGATATAATAATACTGGGATAATATTTTTCCAAATCTCTTAGAAAACGTCTTACTAATTGTAATAAATGTCTGAAAGAGGAAAATTTTTAAATTGAAATTAATTATTAACTTAAATAAATCAGATTAAATTAAAAATAATATAATTTGAGGGATAAATAAAAGAGGTGTGATCCAAGGAAAAATGGCCTGAACCTGAGGATTTATTACTATATGTTCTAGAAAATCATTTCATTGAAACAATTTCATGAATTCGTGAGATGGTATAAAAAGTAATATTAAAAAATTGTTTAAGAACTAAGTCATCAGTTTTGATGAGCTGCAGGGTCTCATTGAAAACTATTAAGCCGGCCGGCGGGTAAAAGCACCAATAGCTGACAGTGTACCAATACCTGACATCCTCCTTGAAAAATGGGAATAATAAAATTTCAGGATCTCGTAGACCTCTATTTCATATATTTTTTGTTTATGTATTTTCTCCTTTGCTTTAATCTTGCCGGAAATCGCAACTTAATGTTCCAGGAACAACCATCTGTCTGTAAGGGGTTGCCTTAGCTTTGCCTTTTTCTGTCTAACTACTCAGATTTATTCCAAAAAAATTTTTTGACTGTTTTTTGGTGCATTTTTATATTGTTTTAACTTATCTTGATGAAAGAATTGGGTATTTAATGGGTGTCAGCTACTGGAGCTTTATAATGGGAACGTTTGCCAGTTGTTGACAGGCTTGTACTCTCATAAATTCAAAGAGAAATACTCGATTTAATGGGTCTTAAAATTGGACCACTCACTACTGCCTCGTTAAAAACAATTGCTAATAATTTGGATTAAATATATAGCAAAAATAGGTTCTCCTATTGCCAAAAACAGGTTCTTGACAGTGACCAACATTTATTGATAAATTAAAGACGGGAAATGCAAGAAGTTAATTTTATAATAAGTTAAAGATAATTTTTGTTAATCTTAAAATTGTTTTAATTCTATTCCTTGATTGTTTTGAGCTCTGTCGGCCATGCAACATCTAGCAACTCAGTAAATTTCACTTTCTGTTCTGGCTTTGTTTCCAATGTCCTGTAGTCCGGGACAGGTCAGTAGATGCAGAGCTGTCATGAATCCTTGTTGACACAGTGGACATGTTGCTGATTCGACAAGTCCAATAAAGTATAGATGACTTTCGAGATAGTCATGTCCGGTTTTCATACTAAGCTGTGCAACAGCCTCACTTCTAGGGAGATCCACTGGCACTCTTCCATTTTCTTCTAGTAATGAAGCCCATTGCTTCTTCTTCAACTCCAACTGCCGCTTCTGTTCCAATTCTTCAGTGATTACTGTTTTGATATTAAAATAAACAATATACAATTTTTCCTTAATCACATCCTTTTTCTCATCTATATCAGCTATAGGAACATATCAAATCAAACAGTGTCAGTTACTGGTACAACAAAACTATTCTCTTAATTTTCAATTTTTTAAAATTTAGATAAATATTTCATGAATTTGAAATATGTCTTGTTTAGGTGAGAAATAGTTCTCTAAGATCAATCCATAAAAAATATAATAACATCGATATTTAAGTTTTTATATGTAAAAGTTCAAAGAAATTTCCTTAAGCATGTCAGCTACTGATGTATTTATCCTATAGTATATTTGTTCATTTTGTTTTTAAATTACTGTGGTAAATTTAAATAATTTAAAAGTGCATGTATTAGAGTTTACAATTACTGTTAACAATTTTAAAAAGGTCTTATCGAATAATTTTCAATGATTATTATAGTTGTCTAATTAATTAAGAAAGACATTTTGTAATAAATATATATATATATTTTTTTTTTTTTGTTATAGAACGAGGAAAAGCTCAGGCCTCAACAGATTCATAAGATGGTGGAGTATTTTGAAAGGAAAGGCTCATCAACCGAACCAAGAGAGTATTTAAGACAGCTGCGATCTACGTGCCAAGCTAGGAGAGGAGGTAGAGGTGTAAATGCTAGACTTCTTGTTTGTGAGGGAGCAGTTAGCAGCAAACTTCAAATATTTGACAAGAAATAAAGGCTGAAAAAATTTTATTGTCCTCGATCAAGAATCGGCTGTTTCCAAAAGGAAATTGCTTGCGAAAAGACAATAAGCACATGAAGGTTTTATGTTTATTTTTAAAACAGAGATTATATGTGTTTCATTTGTGAAACATCCAAAAAAGTCATTATTCAGTTTCTCCACTCTTTGTTTTAAAATAGTTTACTTTGATAACTGGGTATAATATCTGTAATATTTAATAAGATTCCTTTTAATAACTGTAATAGAGAGAGTAATATTACATTATTTCAAGATAAAAAAAATCAAAGTTTTATGTTAGAAATAAACTATAGCCTAAGTTTTATTGTGGTATGTTTTTATTATTTTGTAATGAAATTGTGTAACAAATTTATATCTTTTTCTATAGGATATACATTTGAATTTGTGACTGAACTCAATTGGTTCTTTCTTTGTTGATTGTAATTACATGTTACTTTTTAATAGTGGTTTGTATTTTGTTATATGGTAACATACATAGTAAAAGTGCAATTAATAGAAATATTTGTACATTTTAAGTAAATGTAAATTATATATTTATATATATTTGTATGTATCTCTCATTTCTTTTTTTTTTTTTTTTTAATGGAAAGGGAAATTGGCTGCATCTCTATATCAGTAAAATAACTTGATTCATGCATTTTTAATCATATTTAAATCCACATTTAACATTACCATATATTTACAGATTTGATATTTTGTTTTGAATCAGAACTTTATTTTTTCTCATTCCTTTTATCTTTTTCTTACTTCCATCCATTGTAGTAAAAATACATTTAAATCATATAAAAATTATTTTTAATAATATTAGGACTATATATATGGAAATAGTTATAATTTAAAATATAATTCATACACAATAAGAGTAAGATTTGTACATATTCTTTAAATAGGTCAGATGTAAATCAAAAAAAGACTGACTTGTGTATAAAGAAAGTGACTTATTATAACATTATTTTCTGAAAATAACAGTTTATGTTATCACCCTTTCATCTTATAATATACAGTGTATATTCTCCGGTTGATTGTTGTGTTAACAATGAGGGGGTGAAGTTGTAAATAGTTCTTTTTCATATATCAACATCAATTAGTAATATGAAACCACCTGCTCAGTGTTATTACATCCAAATAAAGTTAACAAGATAGTTTCTTTTTTTTCTTGTTATGTTAAAATTTTATTGCTATTATATTTGTACACAAATAATTTCTTTTACTAAGCATTTATATCTTAATATTAGATTTTTATACCATATTAACTCTATTCAGTAATGTAATGTATTCCTACTAAATTTTTAATGCATTTTAAGTAAGATAGTTGGTTATGTAATATATTTATTGCAAGAATTAGTTGAATCATACAATTAATTTATCATTAAGAATTTAAATTTTGACTAATGGTTTGTTTTTAAATGACATTGGAGTTTGGATATACAGTTCACTTACTACCTAATATTTATTCCTTGTTAATTATTTTAAAATTTTATTTGAATACTTATATTCTGATTCTGTTGAAGGAAAGCTGCAATAACAATATATTTTGTTTAATAACAGTAAACATATCATATTTTACTTAAACTTTTGATTTAAAAAATAACATTGGTGTTTCAATATTTTTAACTAAAAACCTTTTTGTTGAGGAAAAAGAAAGAAAAAAGAAGAAATATTGCTTTCCTATTTGAATGAAATAGTACCTTCTTTGTAGTGATGGTTTTATTTAAAATTAAAAAGTTCCTATTCCTACCTTAGAAAAAAATAATTAGAATGTTTAATATCCATAACTTTGGAGAAAATTTTAAATTTACATCAAAAGTATTTCTGCAGTATTATTGTAATTTGCTAAATAACTCCGTCTTCCTTTTTAATGCCAAGTGTTTTTGCACTGTTATAAATAATGCCAAAGGACCTAAAGCCCCATAAGTTTGTATATATAGGTATAAAATATTTTATTTTCAGTAATCAAAAAATAAAGAAGAAATGGGAAATTTAACTTGGGACTGACCATTCTTTGTTTTTCTGTCATAATGCTGTTTAGTATTGATGTAATGTCTAAATGGTATTTTTTTAGACTAAATAAAAAATATTATACATATGCTTTTTATATAATATATAGATATATATTTATGATCTAGTCAAATTGTCGAGGGTGCAAAGGTTTTCTTCTTTGAATTTGTAGGTTCTAAAGGGAATAGACATTTAGGCATGTCTACTCATACTATGTCTATTTATTAAGCGACTTGGGACACTCCTGAGTGCAATAATATTGCAAAAAGCTCAAGTGAATCTAGGTGCCTTTTTCTCCGTCTGTTATGATTTAACTGAGGAAAAGTTTTTCTTTTTTTTTTCTTTTTTATTGTTTGTAAATCTTTGTAAATTTGTAATGTATTTGAAGGTTGCATTGGGAAGTGTATAAAAAAGAAAAAAAAGACAGAAGGACTACCCTTAATTCTAAAAATAAGGTTTTGTTTTTGTTGTTTTTTTTGTATAAATAAAACTTGTATACTATTGTTAATAAATTTAACATATAAATCATTAATTATTTAGAAATAAATTGTTCCAAGTTTTTGTTGGTTTTATTCCAAAGTGTATGTTCCTTTTTAATACCATTTAATCCTCAAAACAAATAGACTAGTGCTGCATACATCAAAATTCCATTTAAAATTTAATTTATAAGGACTGAATTTCCAGTAATGAGCGAGAAAATGGGCTGGAACGAAGCCTGGGGTATGCAAATTAAGTTAAATCGGTAACTGCGCCCTAAGAGACTCAGAGAATCAGACGTGTTATTGATGACTTTCAACAAAGGGTCGTTCATTTTAGAAAGAGAAAGAAAATAATTTTAAATTAGCGTTTGAATTTTAAATTAAGATGGGATAACATTAATGAATAAGTCGAAACCTTGAGTTTTTCATTGAATTTTTCACAATTAAAGTAATTTAATTGTATTCGAAATTGTCGTAATGGAAAGTTAAAGGGGGAGGGCTTTGATTAGGTTAGTTTGTGCGAGTATGGGAGGCTCTTGCATTCCATTGGTTAATCAGTAGCTGTAATGATTTATGTTTTAAAATCCCTCGACCCCTGGTAGAGATCGCATTTAGTTAGCCAGGAGTGTCGGAATCGGTCATAAGTCTTCGATCAAATTGATAAAATTGTTTTAATGGATTTGTAGAATCGTGGAAGCAATGGCTCGATAGAGAAGGTATCACACAAGCTTAAGGTACTATTTGGCTGGCGCGGTCGACGACAGTGACCGCTATTCCACGCTGCCAACCGCTGTTGGCGTAGCTATTTCGCTGAAACTGCTCACTGGGGTTGTTATAACCTGCCTATAACCTTCGAACATTTCGCTGTATCTTCGAAAATAAAAAGATGGACATAATTTAAGAATAAAAATGAACTTCCTATAATAATGAACATCTCCGACTACCGCTTTTTTATTTGAGTTGGAAAAAGAAGAGAAAATGTTGTTCATAAAGAGAAGGAATATCAGTATTTCGATGTGATGCTCATCATCAAAGTTCCTCTGATATTACATATTATTAGTTTGAAAAATAATAGTAATTAATACATAATTGGTTAGTAATAAATATCATATATTTGTAATTAAATCCCAGCAGGCGATGTTTTAGAGTTTTATCAATAGTAATCAGTAAATCAGTAAAGACTAAAACGATCACTTACTTTTATTTTTATTAAGTGCTCTCACGCTCGCTATTGCGATAGCTGGTTTCGCGTTTAAGCCACTCTTTAGTTATCTTTTTATTTTTATTAAGGAACGAAGGTTGTTCAAGTGTAATTGTTTTTCGTAATGACCAGGACATCTGTAGTGCAGTGGTATCATTGACTTGTGTGGATTTTTATTGTTTATTGTGTGCCCTGAGATGTTTAAGTTAACCTTACAATGGTATTGAAGGATCGTATCAACAAAAGGCATAAACCATCGTTTCGCTCATCAATGGATCCGGTGGTGTCATTAAAACCGGACATTAATTATTTTCTTCCTATGTAATGACTTGAAGAAACGATAGTTTATTTCATGCTTCTGATGTTATGTTAGTTGGTCTTATATGATAAGGAAGACTTGTTTGTTTTTTAAGTTGAAATTAGAAGGTATGTAAATTTTTATTATTAATTTATGTTTAATTTGCATTTTTTCATTATGTCTGTAATGACCTACATTAATGTATATTGGTGATCTATATGTTATCATTGAACAAATGTGTTTAGTTGAACAACAATTATAGTTGTCATATAAGTAGATCAAAAACTTGATGCCTTTATCGCTGTAGCTCTTTTATTGTAATTAGATTCAACTGTGTTCTGTTTACTCACTAGCGATTGAATAGCACTTTACTTGAAATAAAGGTTTATGTTTACAAAAACTCTCAGTCTTTCTTCGTTACTATTATCTTATTTTTTTTTTGTTATCGTTAAGAAGTTGCTTGATATATTGTTGTCATTAGGATTTTGATGGTGTATTCCTACCAATTCCTCTATTGTACAGATTTTATTTGTGATGTGACCAAATCATTTAGGCAACTTTTATTTTTTTATTATTATACACCACCGACATCAGTAGTAAACAATATTGTTTTTATTGCACAAATGAATTGTCAAGTTTTCATAGTTTTGGTGATATGTATTGTCTGATTTTTTTTTTATATATTTGATGGTTTTATTCCTTTCATTTGCCAACTATCCATTTACTTTGGTACATAGCTTCGATTTGCAGAAAGTAAAATTTACATATCTATTCTTGAGGTTTATATTTGTATGTTATTGTACTTTTATTTATTGTATACCTTTCTTTATATGATTTTTCCTTTGGTTGTTTTTAATGTTTACTTTTTATAAAATTTGCAAATATTAAAAAAAAAAACAATATTTTCTGCATTATGAAAAATTATATTAGATTTATATTTCTTATCTAGAAGTATTATATTCTAATCATAATTTTCTATAAGTTTCTATTGATAAAAAGGTTATTTTTTAATCACTATTTACGTTTTTTGTTTTTATTAATCATAGTACATTGAATATTAGTCACATTGAAAACCATTTGAATTCAGTTAACAATTTGTACCTTAAATTCAAACGTTTAAGTTCAAAACATTTAAACACTCAAGTTCAAAACACCTAAATTAAAACATTTTTGAAACCAATGTTTTGCAAAGGATTGTGCTCTAATAATAATGAGAAAGATACGCGAGTTAACAAACATTAATGTGAAAAATTTGTAAAAATATTTACATTTCATTGTGGGTCCTTTGAAGGAAATAAAGTATTCATCTTTATACACTCCTTGTTTTATAATAGTAGTGTGAAACTACTTTTACATATGTTCTTTTTGTTTACAAGTGAGGTATAAATTTAATTGTCTTTATATCATTTTGTAAATACAGCTATTATTATTTTGTGAGAAATAAAATTAGAATGCCATGTTAAAAACCATAACAAATAATAGCACATTAATATTTAATTTTTTTATTTAAGTTTGTTATTCAAATTTTAGTAACAGGAATTTATGGGACATCAATGAGGATGATTAATAAATGTGATAAAATATTTGACATGAGAAATTAACCAGGTATAAATATACTTATAAAAGAGCTGTTTCATTTGTAATATATGGAATAAAAAATAAATTATTATTATGAAGAGTTAATTTAAAAAATAAAAAAAAACTGTTAAGGTCTTCATACATGTTAACATTTCTTTATCTTCTTTCTGACATTAGAGCCGCAAGAGACTGTAAACACGTGACTGGGTTGATGACAGTGTACTCTGTTGACTAGGTTGTCAAATTTTTATATGTGCATGCTAACATAAGTTTTTATTGCCATTTTAATGTTTGATAAGAGTGGGGAAATGAAACATTTGACCTATCAAGCAAAAACAAAAGAGAATGTTTTTGTAAATTTGTTAAAAAAGGACACAGAGTAGTTTATTAACCTATATGAATCATACTATAAAGTTCAATGGACCATAACCATTAAGAATGTAAAGGTACTATTTCGCTGGTACTCCCATCCATTCCTGCTTATGTATTTTGCTGAAATAGGCCATCATAACAGCCAACTGCTTCGCATTAAACATCCTGGTTGAAAATATTTTTAAATGAAATCATTATGCTTAAATTTAATGATTTTTATTTGAATAGCCAGTACAGAAATAGATATAATGGTGGAGTTTTGATTCCATTTAGTTTAAACACACCATTTTCGTAGTATTTTAAATTGAATAACAAGGCTCGGTTATGTCTGTTCTATAAAATATCAACCACTACCTATATAGTACATGCTATTGTTATATTTTAAGAATTGAAGGCATATCTCTAATTTTAAATTTTATTACTTCTTATCAGTACGATCATTTCGGTGATAAATATCGTATATTTGTAATGAAATCTCAAAAGATAATGTTTTATGATTCGGTGATTAATAAATCAGCACTTCAATTAATAAAAAAGACAAATTGATTTTTCTATGGTTGCTCTTTTCTATTTATTTGAGATTTATATTGTTTTCCATTGTTCAATTTATTTAATGTTAATTGGATTTAGGTACATTTAATTTTCTTACAGATTTTTTTTTTAATTAGATCTAAAATGAATTAAATACTTCAATCCTACAAAAATAATTTACTGTAGTTTTGTTTAAATTTCAAACGGTTATTTATTTAGGAAGGATATGGTCCAGGATGGTGGTCATAAAAAGACTTAATATAGTGGAAAATACTTTATTTCAAACCGACGTTTCTCCTATATCGAAGTGTTGTATTTGCATGTTTTTTATTCTTGGATTTGTGATATTTTGTTAGATTAGTTTTATAAACACTGAACACCAATAAAATCACAAGTGAAGCAAATCAAAATTAACTCACTCGACTAGACCAATTCAAATAAGAAATAGGCTTGGTTACATCTGCAAACCATAATTAATTCCCAATGTTTGCAGTTCAGCACATTTTCAGATAAAGCTACTTTGAAATTGCACCAATTTTATAATCAAAATAATTTTATTATTAAACCAAAATATCTGTCTGTTTTCTATACAATGTGTGTAACATACAAATTTTTGAATTTCATCTTCATATAAGCTTGAATCCAAAACAAAGTAAATTCTTGGAATATATATTAAATGTCTTGAAAAGGGATAATCTGAAATGGCTGGTGCAACCGTGGTGAAAGCCATACTCATTTTGAGGGTCCTACAAAATATAAGACGTATTTATAAATTTAAAAAAATGCTAACTAATATAAAGGAAGGAGATGGTCCGGGGTGGCGGTCATAAATAGGCTGAATAGTGGTAAAACTATTTTATTAAAAACCAACGTTTCGACCCGACTTTGCAGGTCTTCTTCACAGCTAGAACTGAAGAAGACCAGCAAAGTTGGGTCAAAACGGCTTTTAATAAAATAGTTTTACCACTATTCAGCCTATTTATGACCTCCACCCCGGACCATCTCCTTCCTTTATAATGTAACGGTCAACAATCAAATATTCAATAAAACTAATATATCATTTTCTGGTGATTTTTTGCCATTTTTGAGTTCATTTCCATAAACTTAAGATATTAGGACTTACATCTCGTTATTCTTTATACAATGTAGCTTTTATTAAATGATTTTTTTCTTTGCTCCTTTTTCCTTGTATAATTTAATTGTTTATATTATATAAATAATTTGTCTGGGGCTATAAACTAAACAAGAATCTCAAGGGCGCTGATATTGTAAACTGTAAGATAAATTATTATGTTTTCATCGGTTGTATGTGAGGTAGAATTTCATATTCCACCAAGGTTTTTGGTTTAACATTATTTGTTGTGACATCGTCTTTTTTATTCTCCACTCTCTTATTTAATTTTTTTGTTTTTGTGTTTGTACAATGGTGGCAGGTGCAGAAAGGCCACTCAATTTTTTTATTCAGAGCTCATTTTTAACTTCTAATTTAAATTATTAAATTTAAAAGTGAGTTGAATTAAAATATATTGAATTAAAATATCACTTTGTGAAAACATTTCCAAATAATTATCTTTCTGTTATATAAAAAATTTTTTATGGACCATCTCATATTTCATAATACATTTACAAAGCAGGAAGGATCATAACGAACACCCCACATGTCTTATTTCAGAATTATTTCTCCCTTGTTATGGTTACAAATCGGCAATAAGAATAATTATAATTATATAATAATTTAAATTGCCAATAAGGCGTGATGTATGATATAGATTTTTAAAGAAATTAAAAATTTGTCCGAATTGTGGTTTTGTTCTTGTAATTTTTTGTTGACAAAAATAATACAATCTATAGAATACTGTTATACAATTCGAGCAACGAGTAGTACAATTAAATGAACAGATGTATAATTTGTAAAATGGGGCTTGGTCTGCTGTTAGGAGGACAGGGGCCACCCTCCTAGTTATCATTAAAATTCAGTTATAGATAGTTTAATTTTGTTTGCTTTTAATAGCAGAGGAGGAGGATTAATTTACTTTTATGTGATTATGAATTAATATTAAAAATAAGTTAATTATTTGTTATTTTTTCACTACAGTACTAGTAAGTAAAACTTATTCAATGTGCTCCTAATGAAGCCAGATTAATCTTTATTAGCTTAATGCAAGTTAAGCAGTACCTTAACTTTATTTGATATGGTGCACATGGTTTGCACACATTAGGTTTTAATATTTATCATTATGTATAAAGAAAGTTCTAAATATTTATGGTGGTTACCAATTTATTTCAAACTTTATAGTATTTTTGTATATTTCAGATGATTGGAAGGCATATTAGCTAAGCACATCACTATGGAGGAATATGTAACTAGAATTGGTGATGTTACAATTCAGCGAGTTATACCAGGTGGGGCTGGTCCTCCTGTTGAGCCAGTTCGGGTTATGGAAAGTGAAGAACTTCTAAGAGCTGTTAAGCAAGAGCCATTAGATGATGAGGAAGAAGAAGAAGAGGAAGTGGATGAAGGAGGAGAAGAAGAAGAGGAAGAACCTCAAGGGGTTGATGATGAAGGGAGAGAACTACTTGATGAGGATAAAGAAGAAATCCGAGTCAAAGTGGAGGTAGAAGATGAGGTAGAAGAGGAGGAAGATATAGACGCTAATGAGTCAGAAAATACACAGAATGAAGGTAAGGAGGTTGAAGAGGAGGAGGAGGAGGAAAAAGATGATGATGAAGATAATGAAAGTAGTAAGAGAAAAGCAGACGATGATGAAGATTCAGAAAGCAAAGCGAAGAAGAAGAAAAGTGAGTATTAATCTTTTGTTGTCTTGTTAAATATAAGTATGAATCATTCAATATTAAATACTGTTTCTATAAACTGTAAATAAATTGTTAAAACTATAAAAAAACAAAAAAAAAAAAAAAAACAACTAGGGGAGGTAAAAAATCCTAACGACCGTGGCCGCCCAGGCTGTACCCCGCAAGCTTCCTCACAGGATCCCGCCACCATAGAAAATGCCTACTGCACATCGCAAAGATCCCAGGCCCCCTGCCACGTCAAACCACTAACTACCGTACACCGGGCCACAGCCCCGTCACGCCGCATCCCCGCCCCGTCCATACCCCACCGATGCACCCCACGTGCCCAGCCCACCGAAATGAGCCAAACCACAACCCCCATAAGGCAATAAGCCAACAATGTACCACGCACATGTATCACACCCCGCCACAGCAAGTCAACCTCCATTATTTGTACCAATGCAAAAATTAGATACCGAGCACCAACCAAGACCCTAACAAATTGGTCATTATGATTTTTTGGTCCGTTACTTCTTCTGTACAATGCATTTGATACGAGCCCAGGTAGAGCTTGAACTGTTGATCTGATGGGATACGCCAACCAATGGAGATACCGAACCGTACTATAATAAATCAACACATCAACATACAAGACCTGTCATCCTCGAGGACAAGCATCACAGGACGCAATAATGTCTATAAATTTGAGGCGAGCCACAAAATCCACCCACATAGCAGCAACTCCCCCATTTGATTATCAAAGTTAATAACCACAGACGAACTAGACAGCATGAAAACGGCACCCCAGTGTCCCAAATATTAGAATTTGTATACGAAAGCTAAATAAAATTACCGGTACCAAGTAGAGTAATTAAAATTAGATACATAGGAAACTGACATATATATTAATAGAAATTAACAAAAAATATGGGAGCCTAGGAGTCCAATATGGCCTCTGGGGCACAGAAATATCTCCTACATCATTATCAGTTGTTATCCGAAATTCATGTTCCAGGGAAAATTGGGGGACTATGTTGATTTTTTATCATAAATGTAAACAGATACTGTTGTTTTTATGGACGCATATATCTGCTTAAATTTTTTTTTTATTACAAACAAAAAAAGGAACTGATTGCTTTAATGTTGTTAAATAAAGATGCTAGCTTTACTTAATTTTTCTCCAACAATACATCTGTCACATTTTCTTTTATTTAAAAATCCTGCCTATATAAAGAAATTTATTTTTCACGTTTCAAAGGTTGGCAATATTCGCCGGTTTCCCTCCTAAGATAGTGTTATTCTCTCGGTTTGTTCCTCCATCTTGTTTTTTTGCAAATAAACAATTTTGTTTACAAAAAGTAGACTATTTTGTTTCATCTCTCCCTCGCCATTGAAAATGCTGATACAGTATGTATTACATTTGTTTTATTAATCTTGATTTATTATGCTATCAAGAAATAATCACGAGATTCAAGAAATAGGTATCTATGAAATGCTATTATTTTGGCTAATTTCTCTTCCTCACTACTTCTCTTTTTGTTATTTTTCGAAACGTGTGGGGGAAAAAAAAGTGTCTATGGTAAAATCGTTTGTAGTTGATTTTTCAAGAATAAACAATTAAATGATAGCATGAATTGAAAGGGGGATGGGGCATGAATTTTTATTGACTGATAATATTACTGATTATCTTCAGTTGCATTACGAATTAAAAGTATTGAGACATTAATATTTTTTTCTCTTAAATCTCAATTTAAATTTCAAACACCTGCAATATCTCCTCTTGAACCTATCAGCTACATTGTAGTTCTCTAACTTATATTTAAATAAGTTAAAATGTTAATATAATTCATTTTAAATTGGAAACCATCTTGAAAATTTATAGGAAGGTCATTTTTTTCAATCTGTTTCAAACTGAAACTGTAGATTTACATTATAGCCTTAACATAGGTTTTTGACTAAAGATGAGATCCTTACCCAAATTTTCATACTATTTGTGTCCCAATGCTTAGAAGGATCCTTTGCCTGAGATTATTGAAAAAAAAGTAAATACCTTTTACATGAAAAGCTTTGTATTTATATATATATTTTTAAAATATTTCGCTGAAATTTTGTTTCATTTGTATGTATGTTTATTATAGTGGAAAATGAAGGAGATGCTGATAAAAAGAAAATATCTAACCTGAGAAGAAACATTAGGGAAGTAATGGATGAAGCTCAGTTAGACGAAGCAACCCTTGCTGCCCAACGACAGGAAGCTGAACGTCTTAGAAGAGTTCAAGATCAACAAAAATATTTAAGAGAGGTTCGTTTTTCTACATTAATTGAGCATATAATTTCTCTTATCTCTCTACTTGTTGCTAAAACATTTTACTAAAGCTTATAGAAGGACGATATTTTAATAGTGATATGAAGGCTGCATGTTTCTCTGACTATTTTGGTTGTTTTTAATAAACAACAGCCCTATTTTTCAAGCAAGCTTAATCATGTTTATATTTTCCGGGTGATTAATTGTTTTTGTAACTATAAATATCAGACATGTTACATTTGTTTTGTTTAAAATGCAAAGAGATTTCGAAAAATCTCTCTACCCTTGGTTTTGATTCAAACTAATACTACTTTTGGTTTTGGTTAGATAGGCACAATATCTTCGATATCAATATTTTTTTATTTCTTCAATGCACAATCTTGATGGTGCCGTATTTATATGGTGCCCTGCAGTCGTATAAATACTGAATATTTATTGTGATTTTTTTTTTTCTCTTCAAATCCTTTACTAGTGTTAAAAGGTTATGGTGTTCATAATATCTCCTTGTTAACAAAGGCCTCAATTTTTTTATGGCTTATTAATATTTTTTTTTATTTTCAAACACTATTATTTTTAAATTTAGCATTAAACATCACAATACACAAACTTTCCAATAAAAGAATTTATAGAAGGAAGTTAGTCGACTTCTACATAACATGATTGATAGAGTGTCAGAACAATGTAAATTTTTATGATTTTTAAGTGTTCAAGTACTGCAAGTTGTGTTCCAGTACTTGGACACCTTCAGCGCTGCACCTGGTAACATGCCCTGATGATAACCCACAATCTTGGGTTGAAACATTGGCATTACAAATTTTAAAACTGACTGTGTTCTAACTAACTATTAACCACCCATAAAGAATTTATATGTATTGATTGAGTTTTAATCTTTTATTATTGGCAGTTTTTCTGAACACCACTCGATTGAACTTTGTTCGGATTACTGAGATTGCTCTGTAATTGTCTTGAATGAAGAAGCTCTATTAATTTGATACTTACCAACAGTACAACTATCTTCCAAGGATCTCTTAATGTGCATTTCTCTTAATTAGACATTTCACAAACTATGGAAAATACAAATATCTAAATGGTTGTTACGTATGCCAGTGTTTTTGTTTCTTGTTTTTGACAAGACAAAAAAAAAAGTTTGGCTTAAATTTCGCTGTTAATCATGTTTATTATAATTATAAATTGTAAGTCTTTTTTAATTATAATTGCGTTTCCCATAGTTTGTGAAATGTCTAAACACACCTTTAGAGAAACTTGAGAAATTTATTGTCTATTGGGTTGGCAAATAAATCCTTTTGGTTTTTCAGGTTGAAATAAAACTCAATGTATTAAACATGTAAAATTTATTTTAATCTACAATATATTGACCATTATTTAATATGACTTTTTCCCATCTTTCCACTAACTGCATAATGACATGTTCAAAGAATGTCTGGAGTTTATTGTTAAAAAACTGATCCTATTGGTTTTTTATTTTCTATTCCTTTTGGAATTTCTTTCCATTCATGGAGTTCTGCAGTGACCGGAATAAGTGGTAGTCACTTGGAGCTATGTCTCTTGAATAGGAAGGTTCAGGCAAACGGTCAATAATTTATAGCGAGTGACCTAGCGTTGTCTTAGGCCCCTTTCACACTTAAGATGCAAGACGCAGAATGCATGCATCATAAACACTGGACTGTCTAATAGAATGAGAGCTTTCACACCAAAGATGCAAGTGTGTCTTGCAGCCAGCGTGCATCTTGGGAACCAGCCGGCTGGAGATTTTTAGCGTGCATCTTTGTTATGCTGGTCTTGCATACTCTCTCCTTCCACCTCGGTCCGCACGAAGCGAAATATTTTTGAGGAGCAACCATCGGGTCCGGTCAGCTTACACTGCCAACACTCAGTCTATCCTCTCCCTTCTAAATTTTCTCTAAGCTTTTGTGATTGACACCTCTTTCAATTGCTTATAATTTTATTTTCAACTATTTTTTTTTTTTTTTATCAATTGTTTAATTTTGTTTTAACTATAGGTTTTTTTTATCAATTGCTCTGATTTTCAACTATTTCTCCATATGATTTTACCTATTTTTCTTGTTACCATGGAAGATTTAAAATTTTATGCCAAAATTGCAATAAATCGTTTTCTATTGAAATGACGAATATATTCACGATTGTCATGAAGTGGTGTGACCTAGGATTTCTTTTCTTTCTTGTCTTGATGATGCCTGAATTGTTGAATCGTTGACGGCTTATTTTATTCTTTACCTGCATTTTAGAGAATTAAAGCTGTGAGGTGATTTATTCTCTCCTTCTCTCCTCTCCTTCCAAGATGTAGTATTGATACTTTTAATGAACAACGCTGTACAAAGTATTCAAGCCAGAATTATAATTTTGTTGCCTGAAGAGTCGGATGATTACTTATTCATCTTTCAAACTCACAGACTAAATTATCAGAGATAATGGATTTAAATGCAGATAGATGCAAGAGGCACGTGCATCCTGGGTATGAAAGCTCTTTCATCAAGATTCAAGGCGCACATGCATCCTGCTTTCAGTACACATGCACCTCCTGTCTTTGATCTTCGCCCTGAAAGCTCTGGTTCTATTACACAGTCCACTGTTTAAGATGCATGCATCCTGCATCCTGCGTCTTGCATCTTCAGTGTGAAAGGGGCCTTGGTGGAACATAACACCCTTCTGATCATTAATAACTCCTCAGGATATTCTCCAAATTCGATGTTACTATATCTGTAGGAAAGCTGAATTATTGCTCTTCAAAGCCGTATGAATGGTTTGGTGATTTAATGCCTACATAAGGAATAAATAAACAAAAATTCCTTATAGATTTTTATTTTTTATCTCCATTTGTAGTTTGTTTCTGAAGGTTCTGTTGATGTCAATTTGTGCATTGAAGTTATAACATTTTTTGTGATTTTCGCAAAAAAAAATCATAGAGGTACCCAAACATTAAGCCTGGAAACATAGCCAAGCTTGTGGAAATGGTTTTCTACGCTTGTGTGCAACACATTTAGAGCCATAGCAATCTCTCACACTGATTAGGTGGGATTTTGATCAACAATGGCCTTAACATTGCTCGTTTCAATTTCATCTGAGTGATTAGACCGTTGAGCACCATTGGTTTCAAAATTTCTTGAATGAAATTTTACATACCAATTTTGACAGGTGTGTTTGATTAAGGCATCATCCTCATAAACAGTGCAAATGTTTCTTCTCTTTCACTTTTATTACAATAATCTGATTTAACTTTAGCCATGATCTTTTACACTCCTTTGGATTTAAACCAGCATCCAAGTCACGTTTTCTTCTACTTAGGGATCGGGAAAGGCTTGCTGCTTACAATAGTTTAAATATTGTTTAAGCAGTTTGCTGATTATCTTGGCTATATATAAATTCTTTTGAGTATCTATTGTATTAATTTTCATTCAATGTATTTTAATTTTAAGGATTGTCACTTAAGTTTATTATAATTTTCAGGTTCAGCGTCAAATACAGCTAAATAAACAGAACACCAAAACTCAAAGCCGTGTGATCTCATTGCTTCAGGGTGGCTCAACATCACTGTTAAAGACAAGTGCTGTACCTAGTAGCAATAGCGGTAGTAATAGTAGTTCTCCAAGCACTGTTCTGGTTAAGCTTGGTTCAGGACAGCAGCAAGCACTTAACCGGAAGGTGAGCATAATGTTTAGCATATTTTTTTTCTCCCCAATTATCATTTAATTTATTATAAACTTAAGTTTCCGATTCAGATTTCCCACAGTTAATGAACACATTAAGCTCTCTTATTGACAAAGTTAAAAAAAAAAAAATATGTGGCATGGTGTTTTGGGCAAGGCATTGGGCTTCCAACTCCTGGACACAGCATAGATATGAGTTTAGTGATTGTAGAAAGTGTACTTAATTCTATCAGCCATGGGTCCAGTTTGGTATTCTTTCACTTTAAACTGCTCCTTCAGATAGTTTTTACCAGAGGTTGAAACTGTTATTAAACTTTTAAAAACTTTCTTAAAAACAGTTTTTGTGACACTTTTTAGGAAAAAAGTTCCATTTTAACAGTTTCTGTCAAACTTCTTATTAAAAAAGTTTTTAAAATAAAAGTTCTAAGGAACTTTTTTGTAATAGTTACAGGTTTATTGTAAAAATTGAACTTGTATTTATTCAAGATCTTAAAAAAAGTTAGGCTTAGATTAGCTTTATAATTTGTCTTAAATGACTCATGATTCTAATGTGTCTTTAATTTGAGAAACTACGAATAAATGTAACTTTTTTAGATAAACTTTTTAGTGAAATCGACAGAACTTTTAAACAAATATTTTTTAGAAATAAAAAGTTCTGTAAAACCTTCACTTGAAATATAGGTAGGGAAAAGTTTTAGTTCCAAAATAACTTAAAAACTGTCAACAATAAAAATTCCAGTGTAACCAAAACTTTTTAAAAATAAAAGTTTTTTTCCGTTTCAAGTCCTGTTTTTTACTAATAACATTTTAATCTATGGTGTAACATCTCTAAATATTAGCTATTTTTAAGTTCTAGAATCGTGGCAGTCGACCATATTTGACACATTAAATTAATTTCATTTTTTTAACTAGATTACTTTACTTATGTTGATTGAAGTATCTGCTGGTATACCAAACTATCTTAAATAAAAGATAAAATATGATGTTATTTTAAAATTAGATCTATAAATCCTTAATCGTAATTTTGTTTGATTATATTATTGTCAACTATATCAAAATTAATTTAGTATATTGTATTTCACACTTTTGCTATTTGTTTTCAGACTCTCGAAGTTTTAAGGGGAGGAAAAACTATAAGTACAGTAGAACCTGCCAGACCTGGGATTACGAGGGTAACACCTAGTAATAGGCCGGCTATGGTAACTCCGTCTGTTTCTATAGCTCCCGTTAAACCAATAGTTCCTGATGGGCAAAAGAAAGGTAAATAGATGACTTTTATAAATTTTTTTATCATAATTGTTTGTTGAATGCAATATTTCTCCTTTAATGCCTTCTCAGTTTAGAAATGTCCTGATTTTTGGAATTGATAATGAATTAAAGATAAACTATCACTTTTTCATAAATTTATTTTGATAATAAATTTAATAACACCTTGACTACAATAGTACTTACAAAATTTATTCTTTTTGTATTATAAAAAACTTTTATCATAATACATAATAATTATTTTTTAAAAATCTAAAGAATATGTTTTTGAAGTAATAGATCTTGTGAATAATTCTGTAATTTGCTTATATATCTGAAAGATCTTCATGGAAGCCAACAAGAACTGGCTAATTCATACACAGAAAGCCTTATAATAAAGAATAAATTATCTGTCAAGTTTAGCAATCTTGATTTATTTATTTATGTTTACACTGATATATTACAATTTCATAATAAATACATCAATATGGTAAGTAAAAAAATACAAGATAAGTTTTGGCTGGCATCCTACATCATGAATTATGGATTATCTCATCGGCAGTCATTATTAATTTTATCATTATATTTCGGATCATGGTACATTCTGTATTTAAATAGAAAGGTCTGTTAATTCCCTTTTTCCTTTTTTTTTTTTTTAGTTTGACTAAATAAATTCTGAATTAGTATTTATTTTTAAAACTTACAGATAAAATTATTTTTCCTGTACAGTATGACTTGCAAATAATCCTAATTTCAAACTACTGAATCTGAACTCTTTTAAGAATTAAAAAATTGATATAATCTAATAAACATTTGCAAATTTCTAGTTAATATGGTTGATGTCAATAACTAGGCGTTGCTTCATTTAAGCTAGATTCGACTGCTAGTTTTTTAATCTTTGACATTTCTTATCATGTATTTTAAGGGTCTTAATTCAATTTTCAGAAGTGAAAATAGCTGGAAAACATTTCAATGAATGTGTGTAACTCTTTCTAAGTGTAGTCTAACCATTAATCATAGATGGAGAAGCAAAGGTAAAGTGTCATACACATGATAGCTGTGGCCCTGATTTATTTTGACGCAGAGGTGGTATGACATTGTTGAAGAAATTATAACTGCATTCAATGAATTGAAAGCTGCTTCTGTGAAATTCTTTGCTCCTCTTTATATTTTTTAGTGTGTTTATTAAATGGACTTAGGGATCACTGAAACTATTTTCTTAATTCTATTTTCCCAAAACATTGAGAGATGAGCTAGGTTAAAAAAATAAAATACTTGATTGTATTAGTTCACATTACAGGTTGTACTAGACTTTTGACCACTTAGTCTCCCAGTTGCTTCCTGCATTGCCCAACTCAACACCCTGATAAAGACCTACAAAGTGGGTCCAAACATCGGCATAATTAATAAAATACTATTGTAGTATTTAATTTGACCACCCCTACGACCAACTCCTCATATTATAATCACGTTCAACCATCTCCACACCATTAGGATTTAGTTAGTTTAGTAGTTAATTTTAATCATTACTCTAATGTCTCATTAGTTTGATCTTTATTTTATAATTTTATCATGTGTTTTCATTACATTAATTTGGTATTTTATTGATCTTATTCCTGCTACGTATTGCCCATAGTGTTTTGTTTACTAACACATCCGTTTAGTAATGTTTACTAATTTTGTTTTTTATCAAAGCTTTATATTTAGTAGATAGGAATGTACTATGACTGAATATGATGGTAATATAGAGACATTCCACTTAATTTGGTTTTATTTATTAATTTAGCTAACATTTTAGATTTATATTTTAATAAATTAAGGAGAAATATTGATTTAAAAAAATGATTGTGTTGTTGAGTTTTGTTCTATATAAAATTTTGTTATTTTTTACTAATATTTTTTAGTTATTGTCTTGTCTCTATTTTTTTAAATTTATTTTTTATTTTTCTTAATTTGATTTTTATTTTTATAATCATTTTCATTTAATAAATTAAATTTCTTTATTTCACTTAATTTTAAATGATTTGTTTTAAACAATAAAACCACCTATTTTGTTTTGTTTGGTTTTATTTATTTTATTTTTTTTTGTAATTTTTTATTTTTTTTTATTTTTGTTTCCCCTTCTCTTCCCCCATACTGTGTGTGTTGCGGGCTCAGACCCATGTGATGCAGACGTCGTGACGATCTCTTCTTCATCGGACTCTGAGGACGACTGCATTGTCATCTCTGAAGGAGAAGGAGAAGAGGAAGAAGAGGAGGATGATGTTGACACTACTAATTCTGGAATGCATACAAATGACTTGTACAATATACCTGATGAACAAGGAAGAGTTCTTATAAATGTTGGCAAACCTGAATCAGAGCCTGAGATTTATCTTGCTCCACAAATAGCCAGGATAATTAAGCCACATCAGGTAATAAATAAATATTAACATTTTTCCACTTTCTTATACTAATAAATATAATTTGAAGCACTTATCTGATACAAGATTTGTCAAAATATGTTTATCCATTGCCCAAGGTTATATAGTGTTGTTTGCAATTAACTAGTTTCATTCTTTAATCTTTAAAGAATGAAACCATATAATTAATAAATTTATCAATCAAAATTGGGTTTATTACTATTAACTGATAAATGTTCTATCATAAAGTAATATAATTAATTACCATTTAAGATAACTTCATGAAACAATGAAAAAGTCATATAAACTTAAAAATTGTTACCTTTGAGGTTAATAAACAGAAACAAGTTAACATGTCTTCAAATATTGGTCTCTTTGTTTGGTATGAATAACCACTTAAAATTATTATGTGAGAAAATGATTTTCTACTTGCCTACTCCTTTTAAACAAAAGCTTTTGTATGAAAATAAAGTTATAATTACACTCAACTTGAAATAAATATATTTTTTTCATAAAGGGAAATTTAAAACCAACTTAACAAGTCCTATATAAGTAAATTATTGAGTTTAAAATAGTTTCATACTTTGAAATAATAATGTTTCACAGATTTATTTAATATTTAATTTGTGGTTTAATAGCAGGAATGGCATGCACATGTGTGATATGCCATCCCTGCAAAATCCCGTGTAGCCGAAAGGCAAGGAAGGGAGGCATAAATAAAAAAAGATTTATTTAATATAAAAAAACTTTTAATTTTAAATTATTACATTAATTTTTTCTTTACAGATTGGTGGTGTCAGATTTTTATTTGATAATGTTGTTGAAAGTATCGAGAGGTTTAACAATTCAACTGGTTTTGGCTGTATTCTTGCACATTCAATGGGACTTGGAAAAACACTACAGGTTAAAAATATTTTTTTATTATAATGGAATAATTTTTTTTAGTTTAAATGGGAAATTTAGTGAACTCAAATTGTTTGAAATAATTTATTTTAAGTTTAACTAGGAAGATAAGACAATTTTGCTTAGTTGTAACACATCTAATTATACTATATTTTTTTTTATAAGTAAAAGAAGATTCTTTAAAGCTAAAAAATTAAAATTAAGTAAAATATTTTAGCACAGCAATATGGGAGTTTTTATTTTGACAAATAAAAATTCCCAAATGGCATCATGGCTGCAGTAAATTAGGTAGTCATGGTTAATACATTGAAAAAACCATAAATATATATGTAGTAAGTAGCAATAGACTACTAAACACAAAGTTGACTTGTTTTTATTTTTAATTAAACAAAATGTTTGTTTTTATTTATAACTAAAATCTACATGACACGTATTATAATAAAAAGTAAAACAGAATTGCACCCAATATTATAACCTTCAAAATAGATTGGTGAAAGAAAGGAACATAAAATAAAAATTAAAAGCAACCTAAAATAGATAATGATTTGAACATAGCCTCAAGAAATAAAATAAAAATAAATTAAATACTAAAAATATTTTTAAGAATCTCATTAAAAAAAAGTAAGAGACTTATTGGGTGTGAAAATCTAAAGTATCCTGTATCTCTTCTTTAAAAAAAAAAAAAAAATTTTAGACAAAAAGAAGTAAAGTTTTAAACATTATCCTACCACAACTTGACAATTTTTGTTCTAAAGTGGATTTAAAATTTTATTATTTAATCTTTTATGATTCCGTTCCATGAAAAATGTTCTGTATCGAAATAATTTGCTATTAAATATATGTATAGAACAAAAAGTACTTCTCTTTCAAGATGACAGCCGATAGACCTGTGTCGTATAGACTGTAGCACCTAAGAGAATATACCAATTTCAATGGAACCTGCCTAAAGTCTTCTCTTTGATGCCTTTTAATGTCTAGAACATACTTCACCTAAAAGAAGAGAGAAAAAAAGATATGGGGAGGGGATAAAATTAGGTTTATGAATAATTCAAAAAGTATACTTATTTGTTGATGTTTTTCTAAAAATCCACTAAATTTCCAAAAAAATCTTTGAAATTGGACAGTTTGGTGCAAAGATGTGGCTTTCTAAATATTTTTTACATGTTCCACTACAAAACTTATATCGTTTGTTTTGGCTTTTGATTTTTTGAAAGTATTTCATCAACTGAAGCAGTGTTATCTATTTTTCTTATCAAATTACTAACGATGAAAATAAAAAAAAATATATTTACAGCAATTTAGGAATCACCTTTTATTTATTTATATGTTACAAGGAAAGTAATTTTACTTTTGATGTATAATTGTTTGGAAATAATAACCCATTGTATAATAATGTGCAGCGTTTTAGTTGATTGAACTTTAAGTTATATTTGATTAGTCCAATAATAAAAGGTTACTTTTAACTTTGTTTTGTCTATTAGGCTAATTAATAATTTTACCAATGTATTTTTATTGACAAAATTAAATTTTCTTTCTTAATGAGTTTGTTTTAATCATCATTGTTTCGATTATAGATCACAGAATCTTATTAACCTTTGTTATTTGTACATTTTAGGTGGTTTCATTTTGCGATGTTTTCTTAAGGGAAACATCTGCAAAGACTGTAATGTGTATAATGCCTATAAATACATTACAAAATTGGGTCGCAGAATTTAATTTATGGCTTCCTACTGATCCTACAATCTCTTCACTCGCTGTTCATGGCGAGGTTAGGCCTCGAAATTTCGGCATATTTGTTTTGAATGATATGCATAAAACGATTGCTGCCCGTGCAAAGGTAAGAAGACATTAACCTATTAAGAATATATTTTCCTATAATAATTGAATTTGGTAAGCTTAATTTTTCTTCTAAACCTTCAGTTCTACTTACTTAAGATAATAATCTCTTTAGTAAGTTAAGTAAGTTTGGAGTATCAAGGATGTGTGGAGTATCATATTTGTTAAAAAAATAAGGGATAAATTTATTTTACCATTAATGCAGTAGACTTAACTAATGTTTTTAATGAGTACCAATTCTCAATGAATCAAAAGCTATATATTATAATTAAATTCCTATTATGTATTTTTAAAAATTATTTTAGTTGTATTAAAATAAAAACTTACAATGTTTTATTAAATGATCCAAGATCTTTTATGAGAAAGAAATTAATAAACTTGTCGTACAATCAGGAAATAAATAGAAGCTAAGATAATATAATTTGACTAAAGAAGATATTTTTATTTGTAAAAAATTAATGCAAATTAATTTAATCATTTCGATCTCTAAAGGCATGGTACATCCTCGCTCATATACTTCTTTTACTTTTTCTCTTCTCAAGGTTCTCGTCCCTTATAAAAGATTTTTCGTTAGTGTTTCAGTTCTACTTTTGCTTATATCAAATAATAATAATAATAAAAGGCTTAACAATAGCTTTTTATACACCTCCCTCCATCTATTGCTGTCCAAACCCATTCCCACCAGATCAGCCTTAACGTAATCTTGCCATCTTCACTTCGGTCTACTCCTGGGGTGATTACCTGTTGGTACAGCGCGTATTAAGCTTTTAGAAATTCTTTTGTTACTAAGCCCAACAATTTTACAGGCCCATTTTATTCACTGCTATGTAATCACATCTATTATATTAATAGGAAACAGTTTATGTAATTCGACATTGTGTAACCATCTAAATTAAAAGGCTTTTAATAAAATAGTTTTGTCACTATTTATGGCCGCCACCCTGACCATCTCCTTCCTTTATAATGCAACGGTCAACTCTTAAATATTCAGTAAGACTTTTTGAAATCAATCCATATACAGCTCGTGAACATTTTTTTTTTTTTCCAATATTTTCCTTAAGAAAAAATTTTATCAATTGTTACTTATATGAAAAACATGCATAACAGTTATGTTCCTGCATATCAGTATAATGTCAGTTTTTCATTTTTTTCTCTGTTATTGATGTTCAGTCTCCAAATAATAATAATAAAAAAAGGCTTAGCGAACCCAAAGGTTCAATGCTGACATCACTATTTGCTGTCTACACACCTCCCTCCACCGGTTGCCGCCCAAACCCAGTCTCTTCAAATCGTCCTTAACGCGTTCTTTCCACCTTCACTTTGGTCTACCCCTTGGACGTTTACCCGTCGGCACAGCAAATATTAACCTTTTAGGAATCATTTTGTTACTAAGTCTCGTTCTCCATATAATTAATCCAAAATGTTTATATAGTCCTAATTTTACAAATATATTTAATAATTTTTAAATTTTATAAAACAATGTTTTTTTTTAATGATTTTGAATTAATAGGTTGTTGAAGAATGGAATAGGGATGGAGGAGTTCTTCTTATAGGTTATGAAATGTACAGACAGCTGTCTTTGAAGAGACCTGGTAGATTAAGGAAAGGAAAAAAGAGACCTCCAGATGAGGATGTTGAAGATGAAAAAAATAAACCACTATTAGAAGGTATCAGAGTTTATTTTAACAAATATGTTTGATATTTATGTTTTCTTTAGTGTTTATTTTAAATAGAAATACCATCTATTGTACAGCGTTAATCAAATTTAATAATTAAATATTTTGTTTGACTGTAATATATTTAATTTGCTATTGTCTTATGAACTGAATATAAAATATTCTAGATTGAGAAGAAATTCTAAATAACTCAGATTATTAGTCCCCATATTGGGGCCATGCCCGTTCTCATTAGTAAAGAACTTTGTGAATTGGTATTTTACCTATTATTTATTTTTTAAGCAATTACTAGTTTTTCAGGAATCAGAAAAATAAAGTTTATAGGACATCTGAATAAGTTTTATTTTGAGTTGTATCCCTAAAAATTAGTAGTTCTTATAACAACACATCATATTGCTCATATGATTGATTGATTTGTTTAATCGATTAATGTTGATACATAAGTTGATCCTATGAGAAACATTCTGAACTGACATAAGTTGATCCTATGAGAAACATTCTGAACTGTGAAGTTCTAGGTCAGCGGTTGATGGAGCATTTGGTCTTGGGATTTGTTGGCAGAAAAAATGATAGAAAAAAAAACTCCTCTTGCTTAACACTAAAATGGGTAGTTGTTCAAAATCAAGGGGATTGCAGGGTATAAAAAAATATCTCATCTGTAATACAGCCTGTGACGATTTCTGCCAATAACGTGTCGCTGAAACTTACATACTCGTACAAATAAAATTATACTCAACTTACTTTTAAAGTAACTCAAATTTTAACATCAAAATAAAATAATAATAAAACCTGACAAAATATTTTTTAAAATTATTGTAAATGAGTAAAAATTTTAATGATACTGAAAATCAATGTTAGGTTTTAATTGGTAAGATTCCATCCACACAGCCTTATCTCTCTAAATTGTAGGTAAACAATTAAATAACCCATAAATATTTCAACAATTCAGGCTACTTCAAGGCAGAAAAGAAAACATTTGTTTTCAAGGTCGCATTACTCCATGACATCAATTCATGGATACTGCAGGATTGAATTTTAATGAGGGCATGGAGTAATCTAATCTTGGGTTTCTTTTCTTTTCTATCCTAATGATCCCTGTGGTTGAAATTTTTCCAGTTATAATCTAACTTTTTAAAAATGGTTATATCACCCCCACTCCTTCCCCTCCATATGTGGTAGACTGAATATACTTCGTTAACAACTTAATGATTTGACTTTAGTATGTAAATGGATTTGGGTCCTGCAAATCCAAAATCAGTTTTTTTTTATTTAACTTTTTCTCTGACAATTAATTTATTATTGATAATGACTTTCATACATTGATGATGAATATATGTTCTGTATTTATGCACTTCAACATTTTTTTTTAAGCAATGCATGAAGCATTGGTTCGTCCTGGACCAGATCTTGTGATTTGTGATGAAGGCCATAGGATAAAAAATTCACACGCTTCCATTTCACATGCTCTAAAGCAAATTAGAACTAAAAGGAGAGTTGTCCTGACCGGATATCCTTTACAAAATAACCTCCTTGAATATTGGTAAATTACAGAAATTTAAAACAGTTTGTATTTCTTGAGATTAAATGTGAATTACCTTATTCCTTCTGTACAAATTTTCAGGTGTATGGTTGACTTCGTAAGGCCTAATTATCTGGGTACAAAGACTGAATTTTCAAATATGTTTGAAAGGCCAATTCAAAATGGACAGTGTATTGATTCTACTCCTCAAGATATAAGGCTCATGAGATATAGAGCTCATGTTCTCCATTCACTTTTAGAAGGATTTGTTCAAAGGTTAGTGAAGAGTGATACCTGTTAATTATCAGCATTCTGACTCAATTTGATTTTAATTCTACGTAGACATTTTGTAGTAAAAGTAGGGACAGAACGTTCTGACATCAAACCTATTAAAGCAGGAGTACCTCAGGGTAGTGTCCATGGAGCAATATTATTTAATATATACATGTCTGATCTACCGGAACACAATGACACAATACTGGCTACTTTTGCAGATGATACCTCAATCCTAAGCTCAGATAAAATCCCAGTTCGAGCATCTAACACTCTTCAAAATCATCTGAACGATATTGCAGATTGGGCAACAAGGTGGAAAATTAAGATGAATGAAAAAAAAAGTGTGCATGTAGTATTCACTCTTAACCATAAACCTTCACCTGAAATATATTTTAATAACATTAAAATCCCAACATCTGACGTAATTAGGTATTTAGGTTTTTATCTGGACAAACGACTTACTTGGAGGACTCACATCAGATAAAAACGAATAGAATTAAACAAACGATACAGTCTTTTATCCAGATTACTTGACAGACGTTCAAAATTATCTTTAACTAACAAACTAACCCTTTATAAAGTTTTACTTAAACCAATTTGGACTTACGTCATAGAACTGTGGGGTTCTGCTAAAACTTCCAACATTAAAAAAGTTCAGTCCTTTCAGTCAAAAGTGTTGCGAAGTATAGTTGACGCACCGTTTTATGTCACAAATAATACACTACATAAAGACTTAAATAATAATAATAAAAAGGATTAGCGAACCCGAAGGTTCGATGCCGACACCACCAATCGCTTATTACACACCTCCCTCCATCGTTCGCCGTCCAAACCCAGTCCCTTCAGATCGGCTTTAATGCAATCTTCCCACCTTTGCTTCGGTCTACCCCTCGGACGCTTACCATTTGGCACAGCAAATATTAGCCTTTTAGGAATTCTCTCGTCACTAAGTCCAACAACTTTACAAGCCCATTTGATTCGCCTCGATGAAATTATCTCAATTATATTACTCGGATACAGTTCACGCAATTCGGCGTTGTGTAACCGTCTGAACTCTCCAGTTAACTCATCCTTCTTCGGTCCGAATATTCTACGCAATACTTTATTTTCAAAAAACTTAAGACGCTGCTCACCTTAATGTAAGCGGCCAAGTTTCACACCCATAAAGAACTGTGGGCAAGATAATTGTTTTATAGATTCTAATTTTTAAGTTTCGGGACAAGAGGCGCGAACTAAGTAGTTTTCTCACAGAAAAATAACAAGCATTTCCCGCCTTCAGTGTAACCTTAATTTCTTCTTCAATTTCGTTTTTTCTAGTTATCGTAGAACCTAGATACCTAAACTTATCTACCTGTTCAAACATATTACCATCTATATCGATATCACCAGTAGTATCACCATTTTTGCAGCTAACCATATATTTTGTTTTATCCACGTTTATTTCGAGTCCTAGTTCTTTACCGGCTTTCATTAACGTTGTCGTATTTAGTTTTATAGTTTCAAGGTCTTCGCTTAACAGTACCAGATCATCCGCATAGCCCAGAACGGATGTTGTCCCACCCAGATCCAACCCTTTCTTGGTACTCATTACCTCCCTAATGGCATGTTCTAATGCCAAATTGAACAGGACAGGCAAAAGGGAATCACCCTGTTTTAAACCCGAACGATCGTCAAATTTTTCAGACAGATTATTACCGATTCTAACTTTATTGAGTGTCTCCGTCAAGCACATCCTGACTAGATTTACTAATTTTTTAGGAATCCGCTGCTCGATTAGAATATTATACAGTTTCTGGCGGTCAATAGAATCGTAAGCCTTTTTAAAATCTATATACAGCTGGTGAACAATACCGTTGTACTCCAATTTTTTCTCTAATATTTGCCGTAAAGAAAATATTTGATCAATAGTCGAACGATTCCGTCTAAATCCGCATTGGTAGTCTCCGATAATTTCCTCGGCGTATTCCGTGATTCGACTGGTTAAGATTAAAGTAAATATTTTATAACATACCGGAAGGAGTGAAATTCCTCGATAGTTATTACAATCCGTCCTCGGACCCTTTTTGTGAATCGGAATAAGAATAGATTCTTTCCATTCTTCCGGTAATTTCTCATTCACCCAGATCTTTTTAACCAACCGATGTATTTTAGAAACTCCAGCTTCCCCGCATGCCTTAATTAGTTCAGTGGGAATATTGTCGGTTCCCGCTGCTTTATAAGATTTTAATTTTCCGATAGCTAATGCAACTTCCTCTTTACTCGGTCCTTCTATCAACGGTTCAGCACTCTGGTACTCAGAAGGAGGACACAGATCACAATTTCCCGTATTTAAAATATTGTCAAAGTGGTCCTTAAATTTATTCAATATGTCAACCGGATCGGTCAGAATATTGTTATTATCATCCCTAATTCCAGATGTTACGGACCCTGCACATTTACGTGATCTGTTTATACCTTTGTACATGTCTCTTACGTTATTTTCGATTCTATTAGTTTCTATTTCAATTATTTTATTTTTAAGATACTCCCTTTTTTTATTTTTGAGCAATTTTGTCGTTTCGTTCTTTGAGGTTCGGAAGTATTCCAGATTGTCTTCGCTAGGATTATTTAGAGCTTTTAATTTAGCGGCTTTTCGTTTTTTGCACATGTTTAAGCAATCTTCATCAAACCACGCTTTGTTATTCTTATTTTCCTTTTTTCCTAGACACGAGTTACCGACTGCTTTAATATTATCCCTGATCTCTACCCATAACTTGTCAATATCCTCGTGGTCCTCGTCAGGAAGCTCGTAAAACTTCAAACCTATTCTTAACATCTAGCTCGAATTGGGTTTTAATTGATGGATTTTTTTAATTTCTCCAAATTAAAATTATCAAAATCGAAACGGTTTTCTTTTCTCTTTTTTATATTAAGTTTTTGTCGAAGTTTCGCAATTACTAATTCATGATCCGACCCACATTCTGCTCCGCGATAAGACCGCACATTAATTATACTGCTTTGCCAGCTATGTTGTATCAAGACATGGTCGATTTGATTCCGTGTTTGCGAATCCGTTGATGTCCAAGTATATTTATGAATATCTTTATGTTTAAATGTCGTACTTTTAATTATCAGGTTTTTCGAGATGGCAAAGTTTATCAGACGGATCCCATTATCATTACTATATTCGTGCAAGCTTTCTTTACCAATTGTCGGAATATAAACTTCTTCCCTTCCTACCTTTGCGTTCGCGTCACCTATAATTATTTTCATGTAGTTTCGCGGTAGTTTATCATAAACCCATTCGAGTTTATCGTAAAATTCACTTTTGACTTCATCGTCACTGTCTTCGGTCGGACAATGTATGTTTATTAATGCGATTTTAAACCAACGTCCCTGAAATGTAGCTACCGAAATTCCATCACTAAAGAATTGTACGTCCCTCAAAGCGGATAGTAATCTACTCCTAATTAGAAACCCGGTACCCAAACAATGATTCCCGCTTCCTCCGTACCAAATAGTGTACTTTCCTTCCCTCATCGAGCCCTCCCCTGGCCAGCGAACCTCTTGCAGAGCCACGACATCCAAATTGTACCCATTCACCTCATTCGCGACCGATTTTAGCCCCCCTGCTGTGTTTAAACTCCTTACGTTCCACGTACCAATATTTAAATCCCTATATTTCAACTTGCGCCTTGAATCCCCTAAAGCAGTCCCCACCCGGAGACCCGAACGGGGGACTAGTTTACTTCCGGATAATGAACGTTTTACCTTAGGGAGATCCATGACTATTTGTGGTGTTTAAAGACTTAAATCTACCTACAATTTTAGATAATGCAAAAGAGAACTACAATAACTTTAACCAAAGACTGACGTACAACATGAATCCCCTGACAGAAATTCTACATCGTACAAGAAACCCGTACAGCCCACTACGACGATTACGTTAGGTGTTGGCCAAGAGACCTGCTGATTTGATTTTTATCCCAGACATTATGGGAAGCTGGGAAGCTGCCAAAATATTTGCTCATTGCAAAGAAATTTGCAGATTGCAAATTTAATATAAAGTTCTACATTTTTGTTAATAATAAATAAATAAATAGTGGGCAGGGTAGCCGAATGGGCTAAAGCGTGTGCACTGCACCACCGTTGCCCGGCAACCTGATATATAAGATTGTGATAAAAAAAAAAAAATAACCACAAGTTCGCGTCCCGGTGCCAAGGGAGTCTTTTAAATCCCCGCCCACATCCCCTGGCCCGGGAAAACTCCATATAGCCTTAACGGCGAGGAAGGGGAGGAAAAAAAAAAATAAAATAAAATAAATTCTATGTTATTATTTAAACTAAGGCTATATATTATCTATAACACTATGTCATGAATGGATTACAGATTTGTTTGTGATTTGACATATCAGTAATGTTTTCAGTGTTAATTTTGTAATATTATTCTATAGTTGCTGTTATATCTGAATTATGTTAACAGGCGCAGCCATTCTGTATTAAGGAATACTTTACCCCAGAAGGAAGAGTATGTTATTCTAGTTCGAATGACATCTTTTCAGAGACAATTATATGACACATTTATGAATGAAGTTGTTAGAACAAAAGCAGTTCCCAATCCTTTAAAAGCCTTTGCTGTTTGTTGTAAGGTGGGTGAGACACTTTTTCTTTGTGTTATTTATTGATTTGATCTTTTTAATTTTCTGAACATATCTGAAGTTATTTAAGTTACTATAATTTTTTTTTAATGACATATTTTTCTCCATTTCAGATCTGGAATCACCCTGATATACTTTATAACTTTATTAAGAAAAAGGAACTCGATGAGCTACAAGACTTGGATATAGAAGAAACTGCTAACCTCCATACTGGTCCTAATTCTCCTAGGAGACCATTAGCGCCTAAAGACAAGAAAGGAAAAACAGTTAAAAAGGTTAGCGTTAGCACTATGTTTTCATTAATAATTAGCTACTTGTGTTAATGCTATAAAATTGTTCCCATTTTATTAATAGTTGGCATAGTGAGATAAAATTATAGTGAAAACAACTTAGATTTTTAATGTTTATAAACTTCTAATTTATTTAGTCTAGTTACATCTCATTTCGGACCTTATGAGAAAAAAAGATTTTGTGGAATTATATTCTAGGAAAATAACCTAGAGTTCAATTCAGTTATTCAAAACTTGTTTCCATGTTTACAAGTTTAATTTCTAATTTCCTATTTCTATTGAACTATATTTATTTTTCTTATTTTTGCAGTAATACAGCGCTATCCAATCACGTTCTTCTAAAAGTTCATTTCTTCTTATTTATAAACATTTAATTTACTTGTACAACAATGTTTATATGCAGGACTTGAAAGAGATTATTAAAAACCTTTTATTTTTAAAAAGTTTCTGTGTCATTGGAGTTTTTATTGTCGATAGTTTTTCAGTTCTTTTAGAACCAGAACTTTTGCGAAAAATGTGGGAAAATTATTTATTTTTTTAGCTTGTATATATGGGTTTAGACATGTAAAAAACAAAATTCTTAGTGCGGGCCACCAAGGGTAAACTTTTTATATTTTTGTTTTTTCACCTATAACTCGTAAATGATGCATCAAAGCGAACAATGTAGTATTTGATAAATTAAATAACGTTAAATTGTGCGTCAAACGAGAATATAAACTTAATAATTTGGTTACATGATGAGGTATAAAACCATGGTCAACCAAAACTGATTTTTACCAAATTTGTCAAAAACTGAGACAATTACTTCAAGCTATTTATTCTCCCATTATCGCTTTGTCAGTTGCCTGCCTTGTATGTCACTTCTGTACCATCAGTCTGTAGGATTTGTTTTTTTTTTGTTCAGTTGTCCTCCTATATTCTTCATCGAGTATATCGGTTCTTCTTCTCAATAAGACCGCTGCACACCCAGCGGACCTCCTGGATAGCGGCTATGGCCACACTATAGTAGTCCGATTCTGTTAGGAGGACCTGAAGTCCTCCAGATCTGTATAATGATAGGATATTCCGATATCCTAGTCTAAAGTCCATTTGACATTTTCCATGTCTATCGCTATTGATCAGTCTGGCCTTATTTCTTTGTGGTTTCATAGTAGTTTATATTTAAGGATAGCGGGTTATTGGCCCACGGCTCCCGAACCAGGTGGAGGGGTTGTCTCCTTGGAGCACCTTGACTTGGTCCCCTCCGGGTCGCTTCCCAGGGAAGGAAACCCTAGGGTGAGTAGTGTAGGTATCTTTGTGTCAGTTTACATTTATAGTGTATTGTTATGTGTGTATTTGTTCAGTGTACTGAACTTGGGTGCCTGGAGTAGCGTTAATCCCCATTAGCCATGCACAAGGCTAGCCCCTGCAGGAACCAAATTATACCTTATTATGGTACCTTACCTCATAACCAAATTGTTAAGTTTATGTATTCATTCGATGCACAATTTAACGTTCTTAATGTATTATAGATATATTTTTCACTTAGATGCATCGTTTACGAGTTATAGGGAAGAAACAATAAAATATCGAAAAAATCTTACTTTTTTGGTTGTGAAAAGTTTTGCCTTGTTGGCCCACGTTACTAATTTTATTTTTTGCTTGTCTAAATCCATATTTACTAGTTAAAAAAAATAAAAAATTTTCTCACATTTTTCGCAATGGATTTCTGGTATCGATCCTCAAGTTACTGGCCCAATATTCTTTAAATCAGTCATCATTTTTGAAAGCAGTTGCTCTGGAATAGTAGACAAGATTCATTTTACTCAGAATAACCTACACTTTCATAATTTACTATCAAACTTCCTTCCTCTGCGATCAGGTCAATTTTTGGGCCCTGGTTCTAAAATATGCACTATCTTTAAATACGGTTCTCTCAATGCTGATATTGGCTATAAGATAGATTATGTAATAAGTAATATGTTAAGTTATGAAAAAATTCTTGTTGGTTTCTTTACATAATTTTTTCCTTATGATGTTAAGTTGTTTACAACAAATGCTGATAAAAAAATAATCATTAGTTAAAAAAAAAGATTATTGTATGTTTTTTTTTCAAAACATGAAATGAAATAATTATTTTTGTTGTCTGAAATAAACTCATTTGAAAGTGATTGTTTTTTAATTTGAAACGATTGAGACTCAAAACTGTTTGTGGAAATTAAATTATTTATACATAACCTTTGTAATATAAGGATTAAAATCGCCCTAATTTAATCGAATATTAAATTTTCTGCAGGCTCAGATTGCTGCCATTAAGCCTGAAGTGGCCGCACCTCCTCAACCTCAGATAACAACTCCTGAAATTAAGACTGAAGATAGGAAATTTGATTTTCCTCAACATCCTCAAAACTCATCCACTGGATCCTCTGGATATGGAGGTTATTATCCTCCTCCTCCATATCCTGATGTTTCTTACCCATACAATAGACCTCCAGCTCCTGGTATGTATTATCCTGGTTATTATCAGGATAATCCAACCTACTACTCTCCATATGATAGTGGATACCCTGGATATTTTGGTAACTTCGGACCCTATCCGGGTCAAAAAAATGAAGAATTTGAAAAACAATCTTGGGGAAGCAATTACGGTCCTAATAAGGTAAATACATTGTAGCAGATAAATTGACTATAATTATGCATACAATTAAAGGAAACAATTATATTGATTTCTTATGATATTTTTTTTTTCAGGATAAAAATTTGAAATCACCAAAAGATTTTGAATCCACAAAACCTGGATTTCAAGAATTTCATCATATTAAAGAAGAAAAAACTGAAATAAAGGAAGAAAAACAGCAATTTAACTGTGGTTTTTCTGGAGGACAGGTTTCTTATAACTATAGGAATTATAGTGGATACTCAGAATATCCTTATCCGTCACAAGAATATCAACCTCCCTGGAATAAAGGAAATTATTCCAACTTTTCTCAAGAAGAAACTCCTGGATCTGGAAATTTAGAAAGAAGTGCTCCGAAATCTGGAAATTCTGTAACCATGGGTGGTGATCAAAAGAATACTTACTCCAGCAATTCTAATCAGCCAGATAGTGTTCCAAAATTAAACACTAGTGAGGATAGATCACATTGTCAGTCAAATCAAACTGCTCCTCACGGTATACATGAGCGTAATCAATCAAATCAAAATATAAATGAAACAAATTCTCTACATTCTAGTTCAGACCAGCAAAGGCTAATTGGAAACCAAGACCATTCTGGTGGAAACCAAAATTTACATCCCAATCATGGAAATGTTCAAGCTAACAATATGGTTATGATGTCTGATGATCAACAGAGAAGGACTAACCAAGATCATATTACTAGTAATCAGCAAGGATTATTCATGCAGCAGAGGAGTGATAATAGCCACGACGCCTTATCCAGAAATCATGATAATTTGATAAGAAATAGGAATAGTCAAGAAATGGAACTCAACAGATTACATGCTAACAGTCATATGATGAGTGGTCAGGGAAGCCATAGTTCTCAAGATCAATCCCAAATTACCCAGCAAAACATGTATGGTAATAAAACCCAAGATAATGAATACAGGACTCCTTGTAATCAGGAGCGTCTTCCAGGACAGCCCGTATTTAGCAATTTCCAAAGCAATAAAGATTATTTGATGTCTAATCAAAACTTGAATATGAGGCCTAACGTGTCAGATGACTGTAGAGTTCAAGGTAATCAGGATCAAACTTTGATTCATCAACCTAACAACTTCAATACTCAGAGAGCTGAACGTATGATGCATGGAGAACATGTTTCTAGTGTTCAAAATATTCAAGAATCACAGGTTCGAATGCAAAATTCCCAAGAGAGAATAACTGGATCTCAGACTTCATTTGGTTCTCAAGAACTTCAAAAGAGCCCAAGGAGTATGCAAAATATTCACGATGCTCAGCTTAGAGGAAGTGGTACTCAAGATAATATCCCCACTAGTCAACAAAACTTATATGGAAATCAGAGAACTGAACTTATTATGCAAGCCAATCAAGAACATAGTTCACAACACAATATGTTTGGTAGTTTGAGAAGTGAACATGGCATGAAACATATTGGTCAAGAACAAACTTCTAACAATCAAAAAATTATGTTTGGAAATCAAAGAGGAGAACACAATATTCAGGAACATAATTTGCAATCCTCTCAAAATGTTTATTTGAATCCAAGAAATGAACGTTCTATGCCACCAAATCAGGAAAATATGCAGAATACGCCACCTCATGTTTATGGAACTCACAGGGGAGATACTAGTCTTCAAGAACAACTATCTGCGTCACAACGTAACATGAACACAAATCAAAGAAGTGATAGTAATACAGTTAATCCTGATCATATTATAAACTCACAGCAAAATATGTATGGCAATCAGCATAGGAATGAACATAGTGTACAAAATAATCCTGAACATATGGCAGGTATGCAGCAAAATATATATAGTAAGGAACGGGGTGATAACATGCAGCATAGTTCTGAACAAACAGATCTGTTTGGTAATCAAAGAGGTGAACTGAATATTCATGAACATGCAAGTTCTCAGCAGCAGAATTTGTTTAACAACATAAGGGCTGATCATGGAATGTCAATTTCTCAAGATCGTTTGTCATATAATCAGCAGAATCTTGGTAGTCAAACAGATAATCAGCAAAGAGTTCATATTGGAACTGAACATTTGACAATGAACAATCAACATATGTTTAGTAGCAGAAATGAACATGGAGCTCTTGTAAATCAAGAACATTTACAACAGAACCCATCGGGAAACCAAGAGAAAGATTTAAAAAATAGAATTACTTCTCAGGATCGATCTGGAAATAATCAGATTTTTGGCAATGGTCGAAATGAACTTGTCCAAAGCAACTCAGATCGCAGACATAGACATCAAGAGGGGTTTGTAGGAAATCAAAACATTCATGAATTGGATTCTAAACTGAGTGGTCAAAATTTAAATTCTGTTAACCCACAGAGCATTTATACTGGCCAGAGGATTGATCAAAGTATGCATAACACTCCTGAGGAAAGTGGCCAACAAAATATTTCCAGCATTCAGGAAAGAATAAATTCAGATCAGTTTAGTGGAGGGCATAATATATATGGAAATCAGGATGATATGTATAGAGGACAAAATATTCATGAAAATCAGCACAAGATACAAAATCAAATTCCTCAACAAAATATTTATGGAAACCAATTCATCGATTGCAGCTCAATGAGGGGATCTGATTTGCAAGGTAATGCCCAGGCTGTTAGTTCTCAAAACCATCACCAAGCTACCAAAAGGAGTTCAAATAATGATCATATGTCAGCAGTTCGACCACAAGAATCATTTGACCATCAAGGAAATGATCATAGTATGCAAAAGATAATGAAAACTGATAACCAACAAAAGGTTCGTTCTGTTCAAGAATGCAATCCATCTCAGTTCAACATGTTTCCAAATCCTGATGGACAATATCGACATGGTAATAATCAGGAAGCTATACAAAATTGTCGAACTAACCTTGCAGAGAGGCAGAATCCTCAAGAACCCTCCAATAGAATGCACTCGAATGTTGATAGGTCCATAGGAAATCAACCTCTTACTCAAGATCAGAAACATACAAATCAAAATTATTTTACTAATCAAAGTATTCATGAGCAACAACGATGGATTCATAATAACCAACAACTTTCTGGAAATCAACAAAACATGTTTGACAACCATGGGACTGTAACTAGAGATGACTCATTTCAAACGAATCAAAATTTACTTGGGGGGAAAGTTTTTTCAGATAATCAGCAGCAATTTCACAGTTCCCAAGAATGTGGAGGTCCTGTTTCTCAGCAAGGTATGTTTAGCCAGAATAATCCCAGTAACAATCAAAGGCAAGATCAGAATATGGTGAAACCGCAAAATATTCAGGAAAATCAGTATCGAATGAGTCATGGCCAAGAGGCTCATATGCGAGATCAACAACAAAATGTTAATAATACAGAACGGCAGCAAAGTTTACATAGCAAAGATTCTATGCGCGGAAGCCCTCAGAACGTCATGGGTCGAAAAAATTCAGCTGATCATTTAAGCCCCCAAGGAATGCCCAATAATTCAGGAATGTATATGAATCAATTACAACATAATATGCAAGGAAATCGGGATTACATGCTTAGTAATCAGTGTGGCTCTGGAAGTATTTCAGATGTTTCTGGTAGTCATGGAAGCATGCACATATCCCATCAGCAAAGTGGAATGAACATGAATCAAAATCATTTAACAGGCCAACATGCCAGTTCCATTAACAATCACGAGTTGCAGAAGGGAAGCCAGAATATTTCAACTCATCAAAATTATGCTCTACAGAATCCTTCTCAGATTCATGGCAGTCATGAGAATCGTCAGGGAAATCAGCCTAGTCTCCTCTCAGGTAAACAGAGCATCTCTAGGTCTCAGAATAATGCTATCAATTCACAAGAAATTCAACAAGGCAATAGTAATGAAAATATTCCTGGTAATCATCATAGTATTTATGAGAATCAGTTCCACATTCAAAGTAACCAACAAACTATGCAATGTATGCCACCTCAGCATATGCAAGGCCCTTCTCAGCAAAATGTACCTAGTAACACAAAGGCTTCAATGTTCGGGAACCAAGGAATTTCTCAGAATACTGGTGGTGGCATGCAGTGCAATCAATCGCATCTTCAGAGCGGTCAGCAAAAGTTAATGGCTGGCCCTTCTGCTTTATCCCATATCCATAATAAAGATCTGCCCCAAGGTTCTCATAATATTCCAAATTTCAGTGGTCACTATCAACAAAATATATCTGTTGGTTCACATAATATGAATATCGATTTAAATATTCCAGTTAGCCAACATAATATCCAGAGTCAGCAAAATACTACTAATAGTCAAAATGTCCCTGTCAATAAGAATGATTTGCAGAAAATGCAAGGAAGTCCACCTAACGTTCCATCTCAACATAAAATGAAGTCTAATCAAGTCCTCTCTGTTAATCAGCAAGGAACCCAGACTGGACCTGACCATCCATCATCAATGTCTTCTACGCAACATAATAAAGGACAAAATATCCTTAGCCAAGGTGGGATGGCATCACACCAACAATCTCAAAACTCATTCGATCAAACCATTATTATGAGCAATAAAGGCATGTCTGGAGGTCAGGTGATACATAGTTCACAGCAGCAGAAGCTAGGAGCACAGTTGAGTACAGGGACCCCTGAGGATCAAACTAGATTTGCTGGTAGGTTTAACGAACCTTTTATGAAAGATCAATTCCAAGGTAATTTTTCCAAAGCTGGATTTTTTGGACAAGATTACCAATATCCTTATCAAAAGCAGCCTCCTTATCAAGACAAACAGTTTAATGAGTCACCAGGTCCTTCTGGACATCATTTTAGGAAAGAAGACAATTTTGAAGAAGGAAATTCAAAGGAAACAGAATCTAGCCAAAAAAATCGAGATGTTGAAGAGGGAACTAAGAGGACTAGCAATTCCTCAACAAATACTGAGAGAGAAGAAGGAGATAAAAAAGAGAAGAAAGATGATGATGATAAAGCAGAAAAGAAAGAAACACCTTCCAAGAGCAATAAAGAAGATCCTGGAATTCCTTATGATTGGGTAATTACTAATTTTTCTTATATTTTTTTTATTTTTTAAAAAGAAATTGGTGAATCAAAGCCACCTGTTACATGCTGGTTCATACTGTCACTAATATCACGACTCTACATCTCTAAAACTATCATTAAGTTTTATTGAAATATAAGAAAATACTATATTAATCTAAAATACTTGTATCCAAATTATTTAGATTAATATATTTAAGAGATGTTGGTTGTGGATTGCAGTCATTTGAAGTTCACAAAAATAAATCATTTTAATTTTATTTGTACCGACATTGCGGCCTAAGTTTAAGGCCTTCACTAGAACTAAGCAAAGACCAGATAACAAATAAATACTGAAAAAATAATAATATGTAGGTAAAATTGTATAGTAAAGTAAGATATAGGTTGTTAAACTCAACATTATTAAACATATGGAATATTAAACCTTCCGTTTATTTAATAATTTTAGGTGTATTTACCTACATATTATTTTAATATTCTAATTTATCTACATTTAATTTTTATTCGATGGATTATTACTCACTTAATAATTCAACGCCTTCAGTGCTGGTAACATGCCCTGATGATGACCCAAAAGCTTGGGTTGAAACATCGGCAATAAAAATCTTTAAAAACTGGCTGCCTCCTGACTATATATCATCTATACTATCTTATCTACTTAGGCCAAAACATCAGCATACATAAAATAAATATTATTTATTTTTGCATACTTCAAATTACTGCAATCTCCAAACTTCGCCTTCTAGACTACATCTCTCCACCCGTCACAGTTCTTGGCAGAGCTCCCCCAATTCATGACACTATTATATTTAGCTTACTGTTAAACTTGTATTTGAAAATTTTATGTTTTTTAAAATTAATTTGTTCTAGAGGGAGCGGGATAGCTCAGTGGTAGGGCACTGAGCTTCTAATGCTCAAGGTCCCCGTTTCAAATCCCGGCTCATGGCAGAAAAATTATTTGTTCTGTTTCATTGGCCGAGGGGAGACTCTGGGTTAGGGATACTCTCCTGGGGCACACCCACCCTCTACAAAGTGGGTACCCTTAATTACATAATTGATTAAGGAGGAAAACCTGGCGGTTGAGCGTGAACCTGGAGATTGAGCGTGATCCTGGCCCGATCCCCTCCCTGAAACCCTCCCTGAACCCCCCCCCCAACCATTGACCTTGAAACAGTACTTTCCCTAAATAGTACTGAACTCAAGACCCTTCATGGGTTGTAGCGATATAGGTTTTTTATTTATTTATTTTTTTTCCATAGCATAATATAATAATGGCAAATGTATTAATAATATGACATTCAAGATTAAATTTCCATCAAGTGTTTCTGAATACAATATTGTGCTTCTTTTTCAAATTTCTGAACCAGCCATAGTTTTGAATCCATCAAGCCTCGTGACACAATTTTTGCCTTTATATTGCTTGTACCAATTTCATTCTTCAAAATCAGGAAATTTTGAAGCAGAATAAAATTTGTCTTTTCAACATATTTGAGTTATTGAAAATCTATTATGTATGACTCACTGTGAAATAATGAGTGTTTCAATTTTGATTGTAGTTTCAAATAATTATTTTTTATTTTGTTTTATGAATGTTTGTAGTATGACACGGATTATTTATGTTATTTTGTTGTTGTTTGCAGGCTACAGAGTTTCTTAAAGGATATACTCCAGGTGATATTAGTTCTTCTGCAAAGATGGCAGTGTTCTTTTGTATTTTAGAAGAGTCAATAGCGCTTGGTGATAGGATTTTATTGTTTTCACAGAGTTTATTCACATTAAATCTTATGGAAGAGCTATTGCAACAACAGCTTGTTCCCGGGAGGGAAGATGAAAAATGGGTTCGAAATATTAATTACTACAGTAAGTTTATTTTTTATGACATTCATTTATTGCTTCAATATTATTTATGATTATAAAACTTAGTAAAATAATTTAATTGTTTAAAAAAAATGAAAATATGATACTTAATACTAAATATCATTAATTAATTAATTAATTAATGCTAAATTAAAAATAAAGAAGTTTTTATCATATAAAATATGATGATTTTGGTAAAAGTTATTGTTTGTTTTTTTCAATTTAACTCACAGTTGGAGTTCATGGATTCTAATACAATTTTTTAAGGGGTGATTCTACATCCCAAAATGTATTCTACATGTCCCAGGAGTCAAGAAAAAAAATTATTTCTAAAATAATTGTTTTCATAATTTTTACTCCTATTATTTTCCTATTCGTGTGTCCTAGGGCTCTCACCAATGCACCCTAGGAACTGAGAAAATAATATTTAACACCATTTCAACAATTTTTCATATTATTTTTTGCCTTTGCTCTGGGTATATTTCAAGATTATTATATACTAATCAATTACATTTTTTGCCCTTCGATTTTTTTTCTCCTCCAAATCTCACAAAATAGCAATAAATTAAAACAAGACTACTGCTGCCCAACACAAAATGACTTTGGTTTAAAGCCCTATAAACTATATGGAATGGAATAAACCTCACTAACATAAATAAATTAGAACCAGAGATACTTATAAAGTTTTTTATTTTTTCATTCCACACTATTCTCCCTTTTAAAAGTATGAAATTCGGAAGTTAGTTATTGGTATGTATTTGAAGAGCACAGATTTAGCTTTCCAACGCCTTAATTGTTGGATTTGGATAAAATTCTCTTGTAATTATGAATAATTGTATGAACGCTGAACATCGGCTGGAAACAAATCCTTAAATGTGGCAAACAAAATGTACATTTTTCAATTTTTACTTTCACTTGTCTATATTTGTAATATATAGTAAGGAAAAGTATTGCGATCGTGAAAATTTTTGAATCCGAGTTTTCAATGGGAATACATTAAGTCTCCTGTGTCTAAATAACCAAGTCCCGCAAAATAGTTTGTGTGTATGTGTATCTATGTATATGCGAATAGTGTAGCTCAAATACAAAAAGGGGTACGAAACTGATGTTACCTATTTTAGATAGGTATCCGACTGAGACCTCACGTATTTTAGATAGGTATACGACTGAGATGTTACAGCAACTTTTTCCTTAAACTCGTCTAATCGGAAATGCCACTTTATGTCAACGATGATGAACACATTTTTACAATTTTCTCAAATACGGCTCCTTACGATTTTGATTAAACTCGGTGTATAATTGTATAATTAAGTGTTCTTTTATATCATTTAGGTCTTATCCCCTCGATGTCACTTTACAGGGCTTAAATGCCCAATTTCAACATTTATTCCTCTAAAGTACCTTTAATTTGGTTTATTTTGAATAATTAACTCTCTTTTATTTGACAGTAACTTTAAAAAATAGCTAAATATGAAATTTGAAAGAATATGATAATTGGAAACTGGAGAAAAAAAGGAAAATGTTTATCCAGGTCGAAAATGAATATCCGGAAATAATAGTCAGAAGGTATAAAGTAATATATTGTTTTAAAGCAGAGAATTTCAGAAAAAATAATATCAAATAAATAAAGTTGTAGAAGGTAACGGAAAGTGATGAAAAAATATAAATAATAATTTATGAAAACTAACATTATTTACCGTAAATCACTTGTTTCCAAGAAAATTAAATGAAATTTTCTTACTAAATGTAAACTTTTAATTGTGGATTGATGGTTGACTGTAGTGAATAATGAACAGAAGGGTGGTTGGGATGATCAGTCATAATAAAAATGGCAAAAATAAATAATAATATTTATTTTAACATTTGCCTAATGTTAAAATGTAATATCTTATAATGTTTTTTAAGTTTGAAAAAAGTATTTAAAATCCAGGCATTGACATTGTTTAAAATGCTATTTCATTGTACTTGTGTGAAAGAAGAAGTGAAATATAAAAATATTTCATGGATATGATTATAACCTTAATTACATTTACTGTAGTTAAATAACTCTAGATCAGATATATTTAAATAATTAAGGCATCTATCAGCTGTTTATTCCAAAAAATCATCTAGTGCACCATTTAGAAAATTAAATTAGTGAATAATTTGATGAATTTTCCCTTTGTGAAATTCCACATTATTCACTTACAATTAGTGTGGCAACTTTTGACATATCCATGGCAGGCAATGAAAATCTCGTAATTTCATTTTAGTTAACTTTACAATAGAAAATAATAGTTTAATAACTAATAATCCTACTAACCATAATCATTTATAGATTGAATATAGAGATATACTTTAAAATCTCTCTAGGCTCATATGAGCTTGTCAGTTGTCAGAATGCCTAACTCCAATTTCAACATTCTTCATTATTAATTTTAGTGATGTTCCTAGAGGCAAAATTTATACCTTTATTCACTGTTTTATATTTCACCACTGCTATCACCTACTCTGGAATCATCTTACTCACTCTCTGTATAGATATAACTTTTCCACCTAGAGATATTCTGTAATCTATACAACTAAATATTAAATAATATCAATGCTAGCATTTATGAAAACCACTTATTCTTACGTATAGAAGCCTGTTCTATCCTTCGGCAAAGGTCTGCTGCTTGCTCAGGTTTCGTTGGTTCTCTATTAATAACAAATTATATTAGGTTACTTCTCTCTCTTCTAGATAATTATCAAATTCTTTTACATTTGATATTTAATCATTTTTTGTAACAGGTTTCGATGTAAAATGATTTATTATTTCAAATAAAAAAATTAAAGGTACTTTAGAGGAAGAAATTTTCAAAATTTGAGAATGAGACCTATTATAAAATGTTTAATTTTATGCTGATGTAATCAATTTAATCAAAATCTTTAGAGCCGTTTTTGAAAAAATTATAAAAATGTTGTAAAATCGACGATATGAAAGTTGCACTTTCGGTTAGCTGATTTTTAGAAAAAAATTTACGTAACATCCCAGGCATGTACAAAGCAATTGCAGTTGGATACGACTTCTCTTTTTTGAGCTAGTCTTTTCACATAAATATACACGCACAAGGACCATTTTGCAGGACTTTGTTATTTGGACTCAGAGGACCTCAGAACATGTATTTCCATTGAAAACTCAGATTAGAAAATTTTCACGATCACAATACTTTCCCTTACTATATACTACATAAGTGAAAGTCAAAAATAAATAATTATAATTGATGATCCATCTGTAGTCTCCTCTTCTTAGTCATAGATTTGTGTTTAAAAGATTTTATTTTTTAATCACGTTACTTTAACATAGTGTTAAGGATATATAATAATTTTACTAATTAGGTTATTGTTCATTTCAGGATTGGACGGCTCTACTACTGCTATGGAGAGGGAAAAATTAATCAATGAGTTTAACTCTAATTCCAATTTACATTTATTTCTGGTTTCTACAAGAGCTGGATCATTAGGAATTAATTTGGTTGGTGCTAATCGTGTTATTGTATTTGATGCCTCATGGAATCCTTGCCATGATACTCAAGCTGTTTGTAGAGTCTACAGGTATTATTATTTTACAGTTTTTGATACATTCAAGTTATAATCTTAAAGTTTAAGTATTTCTATAATAGTTTGTATAAAATATTTTTGAGTATTTATTATAATTAGTGTTCGCCCAATGGTCAGAATTTGACCATAATCATTAATAATAACGGTAATGAAATTTATATAAAAAACATTCCTGAATTGGATTGCAATGTTGTATCGAAATTTTAAAGCAGTTGGTAACGAATTTTTTGAGATTAGCTATTTTTAAGCAACTTAATATTTACATTTTTATTTATATACATTGTTTCCAAAAATATTATTGATAACGTTAAAGCTTGTCTATAGCTTCTAATAGAAAAAAAAAATCGGTTGAGAAATTATGGGTAAAAAGGTACTGAACTGTTTTGTCTTTGCATATTTATATAATGATAAGTAACTTTTAAGTTTCTTTGCACAATTTATATTACTGGTTGTTTTTTTGTAAATTACCAACAGGTATGGTCAGAAGAAACCGTGTTTTGTGTATCGGTTAGTAACTGATAATTGCCTTGAAAAGAAAATATATGACAGGCAGATAAATAAGCAAGGAATGTCGGATAGAGTTGTTGATGAGTGTAATCCCGATGCCCATCTGTCCATTAAAGAGGTAACATCACTTTGCTGGGATGATAAGACTGATGACGATGGTCCAAAAGACTTCTCTAGTCTTCAGGATTCTTATATTGATGTTGTCCTACAGAAAGTTATACAGAAGCATTCATCTCTTCTTAGCAAGGTTTTTTGATTTTTTATATTTGTATTTTTCCATTTCCTATCTCCTGGGTGACTCTTAATTTTTATATTTTTCTTACTTTTCAATATTACATATATTTTAGTTACATTTAGTTTCTTTTTGTTAAAATAAAAATGAGTGTAAGTGTAATTTCAAGTGATGTTCTGAATGAATTTATTAGCATCAGGGGAAGTTCGTACTATGTGTTCTGTGTCATGTACCCACTGGATAAGTAACAGTTCAGAAAAAAAAAATATTATGTATTGATTTGTCATTATTTGTATGCATTGGGGATGTTGTCAGTTTATTGCAAAAAGTGCATTTTTGTTATAGGTTAATTTTCAACAATTTTTTTTTATGAATTTCAAATTTATTCATCAATACAAAGCACTGTAAGGATATGAAAATAAAACAAAATCTTTTATACATCAAATATAGTTATAACAAGCACAATTTTTTTCTAAATTCATAAAGGAAAAATTGTTCAAAGTTCTTAATAAGTTATGGTTATGAAATGTCACTTAATGACATTTGCAATCAACCAACGATATAGTGATAGACTTTAAAAAAAATTATGAAAGAAGTCTGTTTTTGAGAAATACATACATTAATGGGTTTTATAAGTTTTTCTTTTAGTGACCAATCATCAATATTTTAGATGGTGTTAGAGAGGTCTGTTCGACCTGAAATTTGTTTTTATATGATACATTCATGTGTATATTTTAATATACACAAATATTTTATTAATATTTAAAATTTATTAGTATATTTTGGTAAATAATTACCATTTTTAGGAACCGTTTCAACATGAGTCACTTCTTGTTGATCGAAAAGAGAAGAAATTATCCTCAGCAGAAAAAAGGCTAGCTAAACGAAGTTATGAGTTGGAAAAACAGGCAACTACAAGACCGGTTTATAACGGTGTCCAAATGAATCAGCCGAGGTGAGTTTTATATTATTATTTGAGCAAATTATGTGTTGATTCAATGAAAGGAACTTCATCTAGCTTTTTTTTCTTTTCTTAATACCATAACCTCTACCTCTATTATTGTATAATATGTATATTTGTAGAAAATTAATTTCAAATCTCCACAAATTTTTATTTCAAAATATTGTGATGAAAAAGTATGAAACATAACTAAGTATGCTTAGACAAGTGTGATGAAAATAGTAAAACTGTCCATGAAATATGTAAACATGTAATATGAAAGTGAATCAGCCTCTGGGTACTCTAACAAGTAATAAGTTTAGAGGCCATCAACACTTGCACACAATCTATCAATTTTGATGGAACTGGTTCTATTCATTTATTGTAGGTCTATTAAGTTTAATAGCTCTTTTAGGGAAGAAGGTAAAGCCTTTAGTGACCTGCTGACAATGGGAGCAGATAATATAATTACTTTTTAAATAGTATTTTATGCATATTTTATTGTTTCCAAGAAATTCATTTGCTTTTTGATTTATGCTGTCCACTAGTTTGTTCATAATTTGTATACCTAGTGATTTCATGAAGTCTGCTATATTCTACAAAGAATGTAGAATTAAGATTCAGTCTGTGATTTCTAAAGTTTTTTTTTTTTGCAAAAGAGTTCTGTCTGAAATAGCATTTCTTTAATGGATTTGGCCATTCGAATAAATGCTGCAAACATCTTGATTAATAATTAAGGAAACTAAAACTATGCTAAAATAAAAGTATGCTAGGAGTACTTAGGTTTTTTGTTTGAAAAACAAATGACAGAAATACAACTGTTTTCGTGAAGGCTTGGTCTCTTTCTTAGAGGTATTTTGAATTTTTAAAATTTATTTATTAAGATTTTTCATGTTCTTAAGCTTCAAACTTAATTTATGAACTAAAAATATAAAAAAGAAAATACAAAGTATTCATCAGGTAGGTTCATGTTAATTTTTTGCTTATTAAGTTATAGTTTATTGGGTTGTACCTCTTGATTCCAACGATCAGAAAAAATATGAATGCAGTGAAATCAGAACTGATTCTCCATTTTTCAATAAGACTTATTGACACTTCATCATAAGAATCGATTATTCTTAGTGTTTTATGCTTTTTTGAGCTGGTCACCTTAAGGTACTATTTCGCTGGTACTGCCCACGGCAGCGACTGCTGGCGGTTGAGCACTGCTTTAGTGAAATAGAAAGGAACCTATATCGTTGGAGCTGCTCATATCTGACTGCTCCTGAAGCAGTGGAGCTGTTGGCAGCGCGGAGGTTATGAGTTACGTTATCATATCAGAGCATTGCTTTGATGATAACATTCACCTTGATACGTTTCATTTCCTTTTTATTTTTATCAAGTTAGGCAAAATTAGGTAGAAGTAACAAGATTATTCATTTATTTATTTCACCAAAAGTATTTTACAGAGAAATTCATATATATCTAGATCCAAATGACATTAAATAATCCATACAATTTTAACTTCAGGTAAATATTCAAATCCAGACATTGAAAAATCAATTTGTATTCTTTAATTAAAGTGCTGATTTACTGATTGCCTATTGATAAAACGGTAAAATATTTCCTGCTGTAATTTCATTACAAATATATAATATTTATTACTAATCAATTATTTTAACAATTACTGTTACTTATCGAACTAATAATTAGTAATAAATTTAAAATCTGAGATAAATCATCTGTTCCTAAAATAATCACCTTATTAATACCTTGAATACTTATATTTTATATTCAAAATATTACAAGAAACAATCATTTTATAGAAGGTAGGAATTAATATGTGTATATTTGTTAACATTTCATAGCACAATCATGATCTAACCTTGTTCTTCAACTTTTACTACCAGAAAAAATGGCATGTATTAATTAAATAAGATCGAAACTCTGCCATCAAATCTCTTGCTATCCTTCCGATACAAATAAAAACCATTAAATTTAAGGCTAACATTTTTATTTAAAATTACTTTAAGCAAGGATGGTAAATGATAAGATTTGGCCGCTACAGTTAGCAGTTTCAACGAAATAGGAAAGTATGAAACGGTTGGCAGCATGAGCGTGAAGTAGCAGACATTACCAGCGAAAAGTACCTTCAGATGTTCCTTGTCTGTGACTTCAAGTTTTTTTTTAATTTACATAATTTTAATTATTGGTTTGGTATTAATTTAATTTTGTCATTGAATTAAAAATAAATAATTTTGTTCTTTTCTGTGTTTATGAGTCAGCTTTTTTTTTCCCCTTTGTGTTTTGTATTACGAAAAAGAGGTTAATTAACTCTAATTATAATAGATTATTTCATTTTATTTTTTCGTTTCAGACCAAAGCCTATGGCTAGTGTTAGACCTATGCAGGCTGAGATGGGTCAAACACGGCAACGGGGTTGGATTCCTGCTTCAGTTTGGCAAAGGCAAGGAATGTCAGCGCAAGAGATGACACTTCCTCTAGGTATGATTTTTTTTTTTATTATTTTTTTTTTCGTTATCATTTAGAAAGAATGGATAATAATAAATTGGATATTTGATCATAGGATTCAATGTGGAATGAATATGTACAATTTGTGTTATAATCTTCTGTAGTATTTTTTGCCAAGTCTGTTGGAAATATATAGTTGATATATTGCTAAGAGAAAGTAAAAAAATGAGTATCTTTACCACGTACTGTTATATTATTGCTGAATTGTATTACCTCATATATATATTTTTTAAACTTCTCTGTTGCATAATTCTTTATGTTTTATTTTTTCTCTGTTAACTCTTCATGATTTCATATTACAATTTACGTACTTAAAAATTGTATGAGTTCGCATAGAGTTATAGAACCCAATGTTATATGATTATAATCAACAATGAAAGAAAAGAATGCTTTTTAAAAAAAATGTAATTAACTATATTAATATTGTTGCAGATGTAGTGATTCCAACAAATGCTGCTGATAGAGCTTCAATAGTTTTGAAAGCAGGCCAGAAAGTTATGGTTCTCAAATCTCCTAAGGGGATATACATGCAGTTGGAAAACGGGAAAATCATTGCTATCAGAACTGCTTTTAAAGTAGGAGCTAAAAAGCCTGGAGAACAACAGCCAGGAAAAGGAAGTGAGTCATCTAATAGATCAATAATATTTGTTCAATTAATTTTATTTCATAAGCATTTTCATTATCTTTTTTGGAGTCAGCCTGTATATTCATTTAATTAATTGCAATACTGAGAGAGATAAATTATTTATTTTTATTGTAAAATATTACTATTTTTATCAATTAAGATCAATAAGTAAGGATTGCTATACTTAATAAAAATAAGTTATTATGGTATAGTCAAGTATATCATATACGGTATATATGGTAAGCACAAAACGTAAGTGTTTAATATTTTATAAACATTTAATGAGAACGTTACATAATTTTCAATAAATTTAGTTAAAATTAAATTTTTAAAAGCTTGGACAGGTAGACCTCTCCTGCACCAGCTCTCGTCTCCCGTTCCATTCCAGCCCTCACTTCTGGAACACATCTCGCACGCTTTCTTCCGAGGAGATTCGGGGTCTTCCTCTCGTTCTTCTTCCATGCACGCGAGTCTCACAGGTTTCCTTGTGAATTTATTGATTCAATTGGAGAAGATGGCCAAACCGTCTTCTTTTGTTTTCTTCTAAAATGGTTTCCACTGGCTTAACCTTGAGGTTGGCACGGATGGTAGTGTTGTGAATTCTGTCGAGTCCATTCTTCCCTTCCACTTTTCGCAGGTATCGCATCTTTTAGGACTGCATTTGACTCCTATGCTTTACAGTAAGTGTCCAAGACTCAGTAGAGTATGTTAGAATAGGAAGGAACACCAATCTATATTTTGCCATCTTCGTTTTCTTTGTAACTTCTCTTCAGTTTAGGAAGCCTCTCCTTTACCAAGCAGAACATCCTTCCTGCTGTCCCTATTCGTTGCCTCATCTTCTCGTTCAAATATCCACTTTTTTTGAGTTGAATACTCAAGTATTTAAAACTATCTACCTGCTCCAAACTCAAACTGTCCACTCATATTACCCTCATAAACCCTGTCTGGTTTCCTTCCAAATGCATATATATTCGTTTGTTCAGCATTGATTTCTATATTTATCGTTTTCAATTTTATAAACACTTCGTAAATATTTTTTATTGGCTAATAGCATTTATTAACCATTTAACTTGTTAATATAATAAACTCTCAGCTGTATACAGTATTATTTTACATGAAAAAAAGTATATATGAAAGAAAAATTGATCAGTGGATTGTCATTTAGCTATAAAAATAAATGTATTGTATTTATAAAGAAAGTTGTATATATTAGTTTTAGTATATAATTTTTTTTTTTTTTAACTTGATTCTTCAACTCACACCTGTCAGAAGTTCCGACAATCAGCGAGTGTGATGTCAAGATGAAGAGATTGGTAGTATATAATTTAAACTTGGATTTTGTTAAGGAATGCTGTAAAACCAGCTCTTCAAGCTCTGCACAAAAGAATGGAATGGATCTTTGTATTTGAGCTTTGAAAATTCTATTCCTGTGTTGTTCTGAAAAACAATATTTACTATTATTTCATCATTAATAAAATACGAAAATAATTTCAATTCGTTTGTTAGGTCTCGTGCGGTTTCTTTTAAGTCCGGGCTGGTGAGTAATCACAATTAATAGGGTTCATGAAAATTCTAAGCAAAAAATATGTTCATGATTATTTCACTCACTAAAAAAATACTTGTGCTACTACTTCTCCATCGCTCTCATCTTCATTATAGCCATAATCATCTTCACTGTTCAACAGCTTTCATTTTCGGATTCTCAGTCACATTCATCTAATTTATGATCATTGTCTTGTATTTCTGAAACATCCTGTTTATGACTCTCCCACAACTTCTTCAGAAATAGAAAAGATATCCCTTTTGATTCCAAAACTGCGAAACAAAAAAAATCCTCTATAAAATTAATAGCCTTTATAGGAAGGTTGTGGAATAAGCAACTTGATAGGAAAGGTCTCGCCCATTACCTGTGATTTAAAAATATCCTTTAATTCAGTCTGAATTTTATTTTTAAATGTTACAAAGAGCTTCCAGTACATTGCACCATAATCATCTATTTCTAATCTGTATCCATCCACTTAAATGTCATTGTTCTTTCAAAATTCTTTTTCCCTTTCGAATCATTCGTTGATTGTCTTACTGTTTATTAAAAAAGTATTGTTGGAGGAGAGAGGGCCTTTGCCATCCTATAATACCATAGTATGACGATGGAAAAAGTCCTCTCTCCTCTACCAATATATTTGTAATGAACAGTACAATTAATGAATAATTCAAAATGGATAAAATGTTGAAAGAAAAGCGACATCTAAGTGGATTGATACAGATGGTACAATGCACTGAAAGCTCCTTGTAACGATAAAATAAAATGAATGATATATAGAATATGTTATATGAGATGACGTCATTGCTTGGGGGCGCCAAGTGACTAAGGCTGGCGCTGCCTTAATTGGTTTTAAAACTTTTATTTTTATATTACACCTGATTTTTTTTTTTTTTAATGATTCAAAGTAAAATGCTACTGGTTACTTATTTTTCTCTGTTACTGAACTGTTTGTTATGATCAGATGAGATTGGAAGGAGAACTGGAAGACAGCAAATGATATCACCGAGAGGCAGGCCTGTCCGAGCTGTGGGTCCTGTATCTAGGCCTCCACCAGTAACTGTAACTGTTACCAGAAAGAGGCCAACGGAAGAACAGGAACCATCTGCGTAAGTTAATAAAATGTTTTTTTAGGAATTTTAAGGACTTACTGATTTCAGGATCGAAGAATTAGTCTAAGAGCACACTCTCACATGAGTAACCCAGCCGACTACATTCTGGAAAAAAAGTATGAGTACAGTTTAGAAAAGTGTAATCCAGATTTCGATTGATTAGGTAAAATCTGGCATCATACTCTAATGTTTACTGTCATGATGAGCTCTACATTTGTTTTAAAAAGTAAAGGAAAACAAATATGGATAAAATTTCTTATAGACAATTATATTAATGTCATAATTATTAGTCCTGGAATTAAATTATTTTTTCATTTCATTTATTTTTTCATTATTTAACATTTATTTTTTTAAACCCTATTCAGTTTGTTTTTACATAAAGATTTATTTATATTTATTTTAGATTAGTATATTTTTAAAGAAAGGTTAATACAGAAATGTCCTTTAGTAATCTTTATTTCAGTCCCGAATGAAGTTTTGATCATCATTTGTCAACTACTGGAGTATCTTGGAAATTTTAGATCCCTGGTGGTCTTCTATGTGAGGTATTCCTAATTAGTTATGCATTTGTCTGTATCTAGTAAGTACGAGCATCATTTATTGTCAAATGGAGTTCTCTTTAAAGTTGCAGTTTTTTTTTTCATTGGGTATAAATTTTTTGTAAGTAAAGATTTTATTCCAAACTGTCTTTGCATTTTGGGTTTGGGTTTATTCGAACATAAGCATGTTTTGAGGGAATTAAGCATTGATGTGTTTCAACAACTGCCAGTCAAAATGAACGTAACATGTATAACTATTTGTCTCCTTCCATTTGGTTATTTATCGAGGAAGATTGTCTTGGGTTTTGGTCTGTATATCTGATCTGTATGTGATGGTGATGGTTGGTATTTTCTCTAATGTTTTTGATTGAAGAAGGCTCAATTTACACTACTATTTTTTAATATTGTTCATATTTTAATAATATAATAACATTATTATTTATGAGCTGATTTTGTTAATAATGTGTTAATATAAATATCAAAACTTTTCTATAGTTATATATTCATAATTTTTTTTTTTTCATAATTTCAGATAATAAAAATATTTTAATAAAATTTTGTTTTCCCCTCCCTTTTTTTGAATGGTAGAAATTAGTTTTAGCTATATGTACGTAATGAATCCTTTGAAACTGAAATAATTGTGAGCTTGAAAAGCTTCTATTGTTCAGCTGTTAGAACTTTTTGTTTCGTAAATAAAAAACTATAATGTCATGATGAAATATTTAATTTTCAATTAAATATTCAAGTAAGCCTATAAAAATTAAACACTTGTGAAAAATGTTAGTCAAAAGATTAATAAAAACTTGGCACTTGCAATGCTGAGTGTAAACAAAGTAGTCAGTGGTATAGAACCCTTTTTATGAAATTAACATGCACCTTAAACTTTGTGAATGGCTTCATCCTATCGTAACCTACAAATTTTTTATTTACAAAAACTCATAAATGGGGTGTTTTCTCATTAAATTAATTAATATAATGAGATGCTAAAAACTCATAAATACCAATTTGCTATAGTTTGATCGCAAAATCGGAAAAAAAAGTTGGCTACAAAATTTTTGGAATGTTTGGTCTATATAACCTTTATTTTGACATGTTGGGAGTGGAGGTCACACCTAATGGTCCAATGTTTTTGTAGGCCACCTTTTTTCTCAATTTTGTGATCAAATCATCTCACGATTCAAGTGGAGAGCAAATGGGCGTTCATGAATTTTTTGTACCTAATTAATTGGGCAAAGTTTGCCGATCTTCACCTTGAAAACGCCCCAATTTCAATAGTTTTCGTAAATAAAAAAGTTGTAGGTTATGAGGAGATGAAGCTATTCGCGAAGTTTTAGATGGATGTTCATAATTTGATTAAAAGAGTCTGTACCACTGACTAAAGATTATACGCTCTCTAATCTTTGTAATAAAGAGAGAAATAGAAGCAAATATATTATGGTTTTCTGATAACTATAAACTATTTTAAGCTCATTGTTATCATTACAAGGAATGACTTGAATTTGAGGTGAGACCGTGAAGTAAATTTGGACAAAAGCCACTGATCATTTCGTGAGTTGTTTTGTCTAAACAAAAAGTGTTGAAGATAGATTTATCATTTAAAGATCTGCTTTTTATTCTTCCCAGCATTTTCCTAATCTTTTATTTCAATCTAGTCAAGATATACTCTATCTCAGATAAGTGGCTTTGTTTGTTTGTTTTTTTATCTCCAATCGTTATTTATCAATTTTAGTAAAATTATCAATAATTATTGGTAAAAATTAGGTTATTTAGTCCAGTATGTTTTAGTTGAAATTACTTCATCAAAGAGTATGTGCTAAGATGATACCATGCAATGAAATGCTGCCTTTTCATTCTACCCGATTTAGGCATTTTTTAGAATATATTTGCTTTGCAGCCCATAATCTGCTTGCATGGGCCTTTGATTTGGTTATTATTGTCAATTTTATTGACAATTTTATTCATGTCTATCAAACTAATTGTACGTAATATAAGAATTTATTCTAAAAAAATGTTGGAAAATTATTGTGTATTTTTGTCGTGTTCTATGTCTAACTATATATGTGTGTGCGTGTAACTAACCATTAAAACTTTAAACTTCATTTTATAACTAATATATGTTGAGATTTGCTTAGAAGCTAGTTTCTAAAAACTATTAATTATTTATATTTTGCTGTAATTACTCACGAGTTTTAATTGCTTAGATATTAATCATGACTAATAACTTTGTATATTTATTTATATTTTTATTACTATATTTAAATTTATAATAATCAGATATATTTAACATTTTCAATATAATGTTAATTCTAAAAAGAAGAGCTGATTACGAATTCCAACTTTACCACTTCAAATTTCTCTTGAAATATTAAAAAAAAAACAAAAAAACCAAAAACTTTTAAAGAATTATTTTTTTTTCCGGGTTTACCTCTAATTGTATGAAAACCCTACACTTTTTAGAAACATCATATTAAATACTAAATTAAGCAATTTTTAAGGTTAAGTCAATTAAACTTCAATTTTTTCTTCCATGTTTTTTAACATTGGCGTTTCGGGATAATTCTCCCATCTTTAGAGATTCCTTTATATTTATTTGACTTTGTAGTGTGGCAACAACTGTCAAAAATTACAATAACTGTCATATCTATTTTTATATAATACTTTTTTTGGTGTTACACATCCATTTTCTATTTATAACTATACCAACCAACACTTGGTTATTTCAAGTTCCATTCAATGGAATGTGTGGAAAGAAAATGAATGTGTAACACCAAAAAAAGTATTATATAAAAATAAATATGACAGTTATTGTAATTTTTGACAATTGGTGCCACATTAAAAAGACCAGTAAACATAAATGAATCTCTGAAGATGGGAAAATTATCCCGAAACATCAGATGTGATTAAAAAAGATGAAAGAAAAAATGTAAGTTTAATTGCCTTAACCTTAAAAATATAAACCGAAGCTTCCTAGAGAAAGTAAAACAAGAAGATAAATTAAGAAAGATTAAATTCCTTATATTTTTGTACTCCATTATAGTTTTTATAATAGGGAATGGGTTTTCTTAGTAATTGAGGTACTGGGCTCCTATACTCGAGGTCCCAGGTTTGTGTCTGACTGACTAATAATTATTTATTCTGTTTTATGAAGCTGTGGATTGACAGTGGAGATAGGGGGGGAGGGGACCATCTTAGGTTACACCCATCCTCTATACAGTGGGTCCTCTTAATTAAATAATTAATTAAGAGAATGCCTGATGATTGAGCATGATCTCGGACTAATCACCTCCTTCCTCAACTTTTGACCAAGAAACAGTATTTCCTTACGGATTATTAAACTTCTTATCATCTGTGGGTTGTATTAGTACAGGTTTTTTATTCCATTTGAATATTGTTTAGAAGCATCTGCTCATTAGTAAATGGGTTCTGTCCAGATGGCACCCGAAAAGGGTTTTAGAGGAAAGTTTTTTGAAGTTCTGATAATTTCTCCATAAATGAGTGTAAGGTGCTTATCATAATTGTCAACTTTATTAATTGTTTCTGGAAGTATAAAAAAAAAAAGTTTTCACTTTACTATTCGAATAAATTCTAATATTTATTTTATATTCAACTAAACAACTGTAAATTATCTGTAATTTTGATTTAATAGACCAGACTATGTTGAAATTATTTCTATATAAAATTGCTGGGTGTTTATTCAGGTATTTCATCTCATAACTTCGACTCTCATTCACTCGATAACAGATTCTATTTTGTTTTATGTTTCCAGAATAAACTTGAGGTATTAAGTTTAAGTTGAGCAATAATATAAACAAATTTAAAAAAATATATATATATACAAGTTAATTTTCAGCATTTATCCAAAACTTTCATTGAGATTCTTTTCTCCCATTATTGCTATATATCTCCATTAATTAATCAATGAAATAAAATTGGTGGCTTTAAAACTGAAGAGGCATTTATTTGTAGAACCTCATTTCATATTGAGATAAGAAGGCTATTCCCTTTGAGAGATAGTGGAAAATAAGATCCTAGAAGGTTCATTAAACAGGTTCAAAAGAGGCCGCATCAGCATCACAGAAGAGTTTATTTACCCACTCTATTTAGTATTGGTTTGAAACTATTAGGCAGCCCTCGATTAAATACTATTATATTAGTCTAATATATTTTCATTTAGCTCCTTTTTTAACACCCCACCTAACTCTTCATTATCCTCAAGACATCGTCCACTTTGTCAGTCTCTACTTCTACCTTTCTTGAAATTGAGGAGAAGATAGAGGGGGATGACTCTATGTGGAGGTGATAAATACTTTTTAATGGGTTGTTCTTTTCCTACTTCATATGAGTGGTCAGTTGTCATTGTGGAGTGTCAACAAGCTTCACCTACAAACGGTGGTTTTCCTAGTTAGTCACTGGCCTACTATATATAAATATATATTATTTATTCTTTGGTTGGTGGTTAGGAGCCGCCCTTTAGTGTCTTTTTAGATGTAGAAAGAAATCTTCCTGAATCAATGAAGAGTGATCAATTTACCAATTTATGTTATTTTTGCTTTCTGAAGTCTGTTCGTTAATCATTAGACTTAAAATTCCTGTAATAAATTGGTTTTGGTGAATATTTAAGTTTAAATATAATTGTGTTTAGAAGTCGTTCAGCTGTAATAAGTCAACAAATGGATAGTGATTTGGTTAGTTCTAAATATTTTTTTTTACTGCTTTGTTTTTGTGTATAATTTCAACACAGAAGTTGGGATAAGGGTAAGGGAAAGACTTGTTTAATAAGTTTTATTTATGTTTTGTATACTCAATAAAATGAGAACTTTCTTTAAAAATGTACTTTAATTTATTAATTTAATTGATAAAAAATCCCACCAAATTAGTTCAAATGTACTTATCCTTTACTACTTTTTTGTTAATCATAGTAATGTTTTTAAAATCTGCATTTGAATAATTATTGTACATACATATATTTCATAGGAATTGAATACATTTGCCTTAAATTAACGGTATATCTCAATTTCTGAGCTATGTATCAAGTTTGTGTATTAAAATTCTTTCTCTCTCTTCTATGGCACTATGTTCTGTGGAGAATACTGTAGATATTAACAAATTACTGTAGAGGATTAAATCTAGCATCATGCAGTAGTTATAACTGGATTAGTTATGGTATTAGTATCATATTTTAAATTTTGTTTTGGTTTTTTGTAAGGCTGTATATATATATATATATATATATATAATGAAAATTTAATATCAATATGTTGAGGTGCCCCCACCTGGGCCTCAAATTAATAAATGCAGTTAGTCTATTTTGATGCTAAGGCAATTGTTGTTTTGTTCAGGAGGCGGGATGAGAATTCTGCTTCAACGGCTCCGCCTGCTGCTACTACTGCCACTGCTACTGCTTCTGTTTCTCCAATGGATGTCCAAGGAGCAGAAAAAGATGCTCCTAATCCGTTCACTGCAGCAGCTGCTGCTTCCTTGAGTAGCAAGCAACTTACCCTGTCTTCTGCCACCCAGCACACCAATCAGGCTGCCAATCAGCCCCAACAGCAATCTGCACAAGTACAAAATATACAAAATCAAAATCAACAGCATGATGTTCAGCAGGCTGTACCACAGTCGCCTCATCCCTCCTTGCCACAGCCGCAACATAGTCTGCAAATTACTGCTCAGCCGCAACATGCCCAGCAGTCCCTAACTCAGCCCAAACCTGTGCCATCTACTCAGTTTCTGCAACAGCAGGCTGTCCAGCAACCACAACCACAAGTTGTCCAGCAGCCCGGTCTTCATGGTCAGCATCAGGTGGCGCAGCATCAGCATTCTCAACAGCCCATCCACCTCTCCCATTTATCTCAACAGCAGCCTCTAGCTCCATCCCAGCAATCCCATCAGTCCATGTCACATCCTCCACAGCCACACCTTCAACATTTACCACATCAACAGCTGCAGCAGCCAATTTCACAGCATCTGTTGCCATCTCAACCGATTGCTCCCCATTCTCAGCTTCCATCTCAATCGCCACATCCTCAGCAGGCTCTGTCTCTTTCTCCATTACCACAGCAGACAATCGCCCATTCTCAAATACCTAAGCAGTCAATCAGTCATCCTCAGCTCGCTCCACAGCATCAACACCCCCAACAATCTCTCCTCTCCCAAAGTCAACTTCCTTTGCATTCGATTCCACATTCCCCGATGCAGCCTCTTCCAATCCTTCCACTACCAAAAATGCATCACTCTGTACCTATTCACCCCCAAATCCCTGCTCAAGCAGTTCAACCTCATACACAGCTTCCGCCACAGACTATTCCTCATGTTCAGCTACCGCAGCAGTCTCTTCCTCAGCCACCACAATCTATGTTGCATCCTCAAGTTCAACATTCTCAGCATTATGAGCCCCCACCAATTCCACCGTTGGTGGGGGACCAGCTTACATAGTGGTATCAGTATTATGGACTCCTGTCTAATTGTTGAGTATGAAATTCTTTTTTCATTTATTTTATACACGTATAAAAATAAATGTTTTATAATTTGATTTCACTGCCTGCGAAGAGGCAATTTGTATTATATTGTTTTTATTGAATTTAGTTTGTAGGTATATCGTCAACATTAGCAATGTTCTTACGACAAAAATGTATTTATTTATAGTAGAGATTTTGTCGACTTAATTTTTACTCGCAATATTGAATATTTCTAATATGTATATAAGTAGTTATATAGTGGAAAAAGAATGTTATGTATAAATTATGTTGTTAATCGTTCTGCAAAAGAAAACAACAAAATAAATAAGGTATTGATTATCACTAAACATGTAATTAAATTTAGTTCTCATCTCAGTGTATTATAAAATTTTAAATAATGAGAATTAAAGCAGTGAGAAATCGCATTTAGAACGAAAAATATACATAGATATGAATTATCTCGATATTTTATCTGTTCCTTTTATTTAAATTTTTTACTATCCCATCGTATTGTTATTTTTTAGCTCGCTTTTATTTAAAATAGACTTATTAAAATGTAAAGTTTTATTATCTAGACGTTTACTTATTAACTATCCCCTCCATCCTGTCAGAATTTTAGTGAATAATCTTTTGTGATGCTGATCTCTTTACTGAATAGAAATTTTGTTTTGTCTTATAGAAAACTTGATAAATAAAAAATATTCATTTTGTATGTGTGTCTCTTTCCATTTTTCTTTATTAACTATTAAATATATATGTATTTATAGTACTTCAAAATTACTGCCTTTCAAGCTATGAAGACATTTTCGTTTTTAACTTTTATTGATAATTGAATGGTATCTACTTTTTTTAATTATATGGTTCAATCCACATTAGTAAACAATGAATGTGGTTTAGCTTACTTACAGTACCATTTATAAATAAATAAGTATGGACTAAGTTAAGATTTTTTTCTACAAATTACTAAATTACAGAAAACAAATTTTATCATTCACTGAATGTTGTATAATAAATTTACCTCAGTGCACTCACCGAACTATCACTGCTGGTTTTTCTAGAAATTAACCTAAGTAATGGTTTCTTCAAGAGGTGGTACTTTCAATTCATCTCATGTCTAATTAGTTGACTTTCGTTTGAGTAAAAATATAATCACTATGGGAGATGAGATGCAAACACAAAACCATTAATCTGAAATCACTTTTTAAATTAAGCTTGTAGAAAAACTGGACCATTAAATAATCCAGATGTTATCTCATCAGGAGGCTTTTATTGAATCAAGGTTAATATTTATTCATCATTAGCAGCTACGAGACGAGGGAGCCTTATTGCTGTTTTATTCTTTATCTACTTAAAAGAAGTTTGGGCATGTGATCAGAGATGAAATGATGCACTAATAAGAAGCCCTATATTATTGTCTGCCCTACAACCGTTTGATCAACCACCCGAAAGATATCCAACATATACTTTTATTTGATTTCAAGATATGAAATCTGATTATTGTTTATCTGCATAAAGTAATTTTAATTCCATTGGTTTTTAATGTGAAAGTACTAAATCTTCAATGTACCATCTTTTATTGGCATTCTTCGATATTAAGTATTTGCCTTCGAATCGTTAAGTCCCTGTATCTTGGTCATAGGTCAGTTATGCAAAGTTTTGTATATCCTATTGTGAAAAATTCAGACCAATATAATTTAATGAGCTTTTTGAAAACTGAAATTTGTTTATAATGTTCTATTTCTTGTTCTATAAATACATTCTCATATACACGTATTTATTTAGAAAGAAAGATTTTTCTTATTTATATAGATAGAGAGATTGCATTGGGCGCTAGCTTCCAAGCTTAATAAACAATTAATTGACTGCGTTTCCTCATTATTTGTCTCCTCATAAGTTTTACAGTTAACTATGTTTCGATCTCTAAATTTTCCTTTGTAAATTCTATTTGTCCTTCAAAATGTTTTGATTATCACAATCACTTGTGTTAAAAAATTACTCGAATTTGTTACTGTTTGATATCAAGACATTCAAAATTATTGAAAGTATTTTTTTCTTTTATATTCATTATCTTTACTCACACCAACAATAACAAATTTAAGTGTAAATGTGTTGCGAACAAGCCAAAAATTGATTAAATTTATTTTTTGACTCATTAAAATCTCTATATCAATTAAAACATTCCTAAGTATATATTTGAATTAAAATTATTTAAATAAAATAGTCTCTATTCAAGTTGTCCGGTTAAATACATACAGGTGTAAAAAAAAAATATCAACTTTGTCGCTAAAAAAATTTTTATTCTAGATACTAGGTTGGTTTTGAAAAAAATATATTTGGCAGATAGCTATGGTATGAGTACAATGCTAACACAAATTGGACCAACCGAAAAGTTTTAGGAAGAAACAAACTTGATATTTGTTTTTTGCACCTTGAATAACTTCAGTTTTCAAGAGTTTGTAATTTATGATTATTTTTGCAGTAATTGAAAACTTTAAATTTTTGCCTAGGGTGGACCATCCAATTTTTTTTTTTAAAACCACGAAAACTGTGATAATTTAAAGAGACTAGTGATCCACACGAAACTTGTCAAGGATTTAGGATTCTATAAGGAATAATACTAAACCAACTTTTGAAAACAAATTAGAACCAATTACATAAAATAGGAATGTTTTTCTTAATTTTTAGCTTATAAAGGAATAAAATCTAAACGCTTTTGATGTGGATCAGAAGAGCATTAATTTAGCTTTCCAACGGTTGTATTAACGTTAAATTTGAAGAAAATTCTGGTGAGTTATGAATGTTTTAGTTAATTAATCGAAAATATTAAATGAAAAAATTTATATCATTATAAAAATTTGTATTCAAGTATTTGAAAGAATACTAAAAACGAATCAAACTTGCTTTTTCATAAAAAAAATTTGCTTGGTCCTCTTTACTTTACTGGAAGCATCTTTTGGTTTTCTCATTTAACTCCGTAATACCGTATGCAATATTTTTTCTTATTTTCCCCCCCCCCCCCAAAATTAAATCAATTATTACACAATAATTTAGAAATCTAGGCAATGTATATATATTTTTTTGAAATTGTATAAAATAGTTTTTTTCTTGGCTCCTGAAGTCCATTGGAACGGAAGTCAAGAAATGTGTGTCTAATATTTTATCACAAAACAGAATTTGGTTTAAATCGATGACCACTGACGGTGATCTATCTCCCCTTGTGAGTAAAGTAAATAAAATTATATGCTCACACATCTCAAGAAAAAATATCATTTATGGTTGTATAAATGGGTAAATTTATTATTGAAAAATAAATAAAGGGTAATTGTGTGAATATGTTGCAATTTTTTTCAAAATAGGAGTCAGTGAAACAATTAATTTTTCACATTTGGATTTGTATTATTTCTTTCATTCATTAATGATTTTTACTTGATTGTTTATTGATAATTTGATTGTAATTTAATGTATTTTATGTAGATTAATTAATGTGTTAAATATTTCTACGTTCAATATTCCATAATATTCAGTATGATAATCATGCCAAATACGTAAAAGAAAATCATGCTCCATTTTTCAAAAATATTTAAATATAAATATTTATATAACTTATTATTGTAATGGATTTTTTAAATTTTATCTAATATTAAGATGACATTATATTATATAAGGGAAAGACACTGCATAATAAATTCACATTTATTGTTAACAGATACAATAGCACTGAACTTATTCTATTAGGTAATTATACAGAATCTATTATATTCAATACCTACTAATATAACGTAAGTACATCCTTATTGACATAAACCTATTCTTAAAATTAGTTTTACATCACAAAGACAACTTATTCTAATGGAGTATATAGACTAGATAATTATTTTAAAAATTAAAAGTTATAATAAATCTACAGTCATAATAAAAATATTTGCAATTCTTAAAAATAATCCATGTTTAGCTATTTCCCTTGCTATTTATGGGTAAAATAAATAAACTTGTGTTATGGCAACCCTTTTGAAATCAGTTCCTCTATGAAAAAATCGATTTTTTATTTTAGAATTAATTCATAGAATAATTTTTAAATTGTATGAATTCCTGTAGAAAATCATAGAATTGACTACAACATTTAACACCTAACATCTAAAGTTGTACTGTTTTAAGTTAGTACATGAAGTTACTACATTTAACCTTACCAGAACTTGTTGCACTCTCTTATTAGGCCAAAACTACATTTACACCTATGCAAGACATTGACTGTAGCAAATATTTATTATAAGCATCTATTAATTTTTACAACACATATCCTGTATTTCTTTAAGAGTTAAATGGTAAATGTAATGGAGAATACCTTATCCACTTATTTTTCTGTCAATCACATATACTGGTGAATTGGTAACTTCAACAAAAAATTTTTTGTTAATTCATTATTTCTTTCGCAACTTATGTTAAACATTCCATTGAATTGGGTTCATTTATTCTGTAGTACAAAGAAGAAGCCTACAACAAGCATGCTCTATGAATATTTTATTTCTTGATTTATTTATAATCTACTATGAAAAATGTATTGTTTATAGTTTTGGAATTGTCTGTAAATACTTGAAAAGCAGTGCTAGGCGGATTTCTTTATAGACAAAACCTATCTGCTCTAATTTTGTGAATTAAACATTGTCCTAGAAATGCAAGTCCAAGCAGTGACCAAGCTTTACAGATCATTTTAGAAATCATTCATCTAACCTTCTAAAGGACTAAGTAGTGTATGACTAATTTGATTATTGTAAAAGTATTCTGAGACAAATGGATGGTTTAAATCTTAAGTTCTTATTTGTACTTGTTTAGTTTTTGACTTAAAAAGGTAAATACAACCAATTGTATTTATCAAATTTAGCTTTATCTATAAGCAACTAATGCTTAAAACAAATTATGGCCTTAAAGCATCTTATACAAAACTGATTTTATTATAATAGTAATTGAAAAGTGTGTTTTAAGGCTTTGGTTATAGATTTTCAATTTTGTATTTATATTTGTACTTTATAAAAATGCTTCTTTTATATTATCACTTGTAAATCCTAATAGCACAAAAATGCATTTTTTTATTATTCGCAGATAGAAAGCTTTCTAAACCAATCGCATAGTCATTTTTGATTAGCCATCAGTATTGTCCATTGTCAGATTTCTCATAAAAAGAAGCGGAGGACTACAGGCAGCCTCCCAAGAATCTAGAGGTACTCCAGATAAAGGGAGGGTGGCAGCTAGATTGGGTTAGATTCTTCCTTCTTTTGATCAACTTCGAAGATCTCATGGTCGAAGAAGAAGCGGTAGATAAGTGCAGCGAACACTGCTCCCAAGCAGGTGGCACTCCAGTATATCTATATGGCAAAATCAGTAATGTTTCATTTCAATTAAATTTGTTTATACATTTTTTTTTTTTAATTTAACCTCATTTTCAGGATCACCATGTATTTTTTCATCTTTTGACAATTTATATACAATGTATATGTTTTTCTTCCTCAAGGTATTTTATTTTATATATAGTTTGTCATTTTAATTTATGTTTACTTAATGCGGACAAAGCTTGTCATTAATATTACTTTTTCAATATCACATTTCAATCAAAGATAATTTGACATTGAAATATATATATTTTTTTCTTCTTTTGTCAGCCCAAGACTCACACAGAAGTCATATACTGCATAAAATTGAAGACCTTGAGGAAGAAAAACAATATTATGTATTAAGTATCACAAGATAAAAAAGTACTGGATGATCCTGAAGATGTAAGATCCTCGAAACATCAGTGTAAATATTAATGATGGATAAAAAAAAAAAAAAAGAATTATAAAGTTCATAAAATTATTTTTATATATAAATAATCAATGAAATTATCATCATTAAATTTATTTTGTACTTTAATATAAATTTGAAAAATAATGATGTACTTACCCAATGGTTATCCCAATATCCTGCTGCTAAAGCTGGTCCAAAACTTCTGGCTGGATTGAGACTGCCTCCTGCATATTTGCCCTATCAAAGAATCAAAAAATTTTTTTAATAATAATATTTTACGGTTTTATTTTTTATTAAAAATTTGGCATAAGACTTAATCTAACATTGTCTTGAATGTTTCCCTAATGCCCCTATGGCTTATTTTTATTTTTTTTACTTTTTAAATAATTAACTGTTTTTTTTTTAATATATGTGTATACTTATCAGTTATGTTTTATCTTAAATGTTTTTATGAGATATTATCATCATATTAGTGAACAAGGATAGCTTATTATAATAGTTAAAGTTAAATAGTGCATTCAGGTTTCGCAGTATTATAAAAAAAAAAAAACTTTTCATTCCTTTCAGCTGCGATCATAATAAGACTATGCCATAAATTGAATTTTAGCTCAAGATGAAGGTTTTTATGCCAAAAAATTATAAGTGAAATTAATTACAAATTAATACTCACGCCTGGTATAGCAATGGATGTTATGATGACTAGAAACTTAAAGGCGACTACGCTACCCTGCTCCTTCATTCTCGGGTCCAAGACATTGCAGAGACCCCAGGCTAGGACTGCTGTTCCCATGAACTCGACCATGAAGGCTGAACCAACACCGACTTCACTATTAGGCTGTGTAACACAGAATCCTTCCCCAAGATCTGGTGTTACCATCTGTAAGATAACCATTTATGTTAAGATAAGCGCTAAAAAGAACAACGGTTGACAATTTTTACTTTCGCTTACCTATATAGGTAATATATAGTATGAGAAAGTATTGCGATCGTGAAAATGTTCGAATCTGAGTTTTCAACAGAAATATTTGAGGTCCCCTGATTCTAAATAACCAAGTCCCGCAAAATGGTCTGAGTGTGTGTGTGTGTGTGTGTGTATGAATGTATGTGGTAAGTCTAGCTCAAAAAAGAAAATTCGTTCAAAACTGATATTATATATTTAATATAGGTGTTATGCCTTGGATGTGACAGCAAGTTTTTCGTTAAAATCGACTAACCGTAAGTGGCACTTTATGTCAACGGTTTTACATATTTTTACAATTTTCACAAAAAAGGTTCCAATAATTTTGATTAAAATCGTTATATAGTGTATTATATAATTAAGCAGTCTTTAATATTGAGGTCTTATCCCCATTGATGTCACTTTACACGGCTTAAATGCTTTAATGTTCAACTTGTCTTCCTCTGAAATACCTTTGATTTGGTTTATTTTAAATAATTAACCATCTCTCATTATTAAGAGTTACAAAAAAAAAAAATGCTACATATAACTTTTGAAAGAATTTTATAATTGAAAAATATGGAAAAAAATGAAAAGGTTTATTTAGGTCGAAAATGAATTTCGGGAAATACTAGTCAGAAGGTACATGTACAGTATATTGTTGGAAAACGAAGAATTTTAGAAAAAAACAATATCTAATATAGAAACTCTAAGAAAGTAATGTAGAGTGACGAAAAATTATAAATAATAATTTGTAAAAATTAATATTTAATGGAAATCACATGTTTTCAAGGAAATTAAATAAAATTTAATAACTAAATGGAAACTTATTTGAAGTTTGAAAAAAAGTATTTAAAATCCATCTGATCAAGGCAATGGCATTGTTTAAAAAAACTATTTCATAGTACTTCTGTGAAAGAAGAAGTGAAATATAAAAATATTTCATAAATTTATAAAGCATATATTTATAACCTTAAATTCATTTACTGAAGTGTAATAACTCTAGATCTGATATTTTATTTAAATAATTAGGTAGCAACATCCATTTATATCGAAAAAATCATGTAACCTTTTAAAAAATTAAATTAGGGAATAATTTTATGAATTTTCCCTTTGTGAAATCCAAACATTATCTGCTTAAAATTAGTGTAAGAACTTTTGACCTGTCTATGGCAGGCAATAAAAATATTTTAATTTCTTTGTAGTAAACTTTACATTGGAAAATAACAGTTTAATAACTAATATTAATAATTGAATATAGAGATATACTTTCAAATCTCTCAAGGAATATATATATATATATATATAAGATAAAGACCGGAGACTGGCGATATCAGCCTTAATACCATCTTGTAATGTAAATAAACATAGCAATTGTATATAAGGCAGATTATTGAACGAATAAAGCAGTGTTAATTCAGAAGCCGTGAGTATTGTTTCTCGTTCCTCTTTCCTTCTTTTTTTTTATTTACAAAGCCCGGAGACGCTTAACTGGTGCCGAAACCCGGGAGAACGTCAGGAGAACACGGAAGTAAAATTTTTTTTTCCTTTCTTTATTTTAATTTTTTTTCTCTCTTCTCCTAGTCATAAGGAAAAGACGAGATGCCGACAGAGGGCATAATTCGACCAGGAGTGTTGAACGCACCTGAAATGCCGCAACCTCAGGAAATGCCGATAGCGCAGATTCCTCAGATCGCCCCTCAGGTTCCGCAGATTCCGCAGATACCTAAGATACCTCAAGTACCGCAGATACAAGAGATCCCTCCCTTACCTAGGGACACATTGGCAGAGGCGCACGCCAATGCATTGGAGTGGATGAAGATAAGGGCAGCGACCACGCAGGATCTACGGAGAGCAATCGCAGACCTGGAGCGATTCGGGGGCGAGATAGGTGAACTTAATCACTTCCTGAAAGGTGGAGACCGCCTCATATCAAGAATCGAAGCAAAGGTGGCGGAGGACCTCGTGAACCTGGGAGACGCAGAAGCACTGAAGGCAGCTCTCGTGTGCCGAGTGAGGAGGAACATCCTCAACCAAATCCAAGCGGACGAGGAGACACCATGGCCAGTGATTAAGGAGCGTTTGAAGAAGGCTTTCGGAGGGGGCCGATGGACGCCGGAAGAAGATATCTTCCAAATGTTTAGGGAGTGTCGGTCCCAACGCCAATCAAGAGGACAGTATGCGGGGGTACTAGTGGCGAAGTACAACCGCATAACTGAGAAAATGCGGGAAACCATGAGTGTGGGAGAGGTCGAAGCTAGGATGGAATTCCTTTCGACAATACTCAAGGTTCAGTTGGCTAAGGAGACTGGGAGAAGGGACGGACTGCCTAGAGAGCGATCGTTCCTCGAGTGTGCCCAAGAAATGATAGATCTGAGTGCAAGAGAGGAAGAGACGCGGATGGAAGTAGAAGAACCAGGGTGGACCCGGGTGAGTGACAGACGACCCCGGACAGCCCAGATCGGGTGGAGGAAGAGGGAAATGAAACACCCGAACGGAGAAAAAGCCACGACGGGCGAGAGAAGATCCGGACAGTCCAGGCCTAGGAATGGACCCCGGAGGGAAGACAGAAAATGTCACGGGTGCGGGAAACCGGGACATTTGGTAGCACAATGTCCGCGCACTAGATGTTTCGAGTGCGGGACGGAAGGGCATATTGCCAGACAGTGCCCGTACATGTTTCGCAGGAGAGAGAGACCTCTAGACGAGCCAATGGAGGTGAACGCTCAAAAGTTGAAAAAACGAGCTAGGATGCAGCAGAGAGACGGATCTTCGGAAGAGGCAACCGAGGAGTCGGGGACGTCGGGAACGGAGACTGACGAGCCAGCCAGCAGTGGAGGCGAAGGAGGCAGGAGCAGCCAACGGAGCGAGCAACGACGAGCGACGGCGGTAAGGAGGAAGCGAGGTGGCATCTGAGAAGGGTGTCAGCAGAGAGGCGACCGCACAGCAACCTGCAACAATATTAGAGGTAAGCCATGCTGGTTGCCGATTATTGAGGTAGACGGGGGAGTGAAGTGTCTCGTGGACACAGGGAGCTCGAGTACTATCTTGACTCGGGGGGCGTTGGGGAGAGTGTGCGGGAGCGAGAGGGTACTCCGGATACAAAACTGTGGCTGCCAGCTAATCACTCTGGGTGGTCCCTGTAAAGTAGAAGGGGAAGCGTCAATTACGCTTGATCGGTGGGCAGGGAAAAAGGGGGAGCTAAAGGTGCATGTGGTAGAGAGCATGACGCGGGAGTACCAAGTCATAATAGGGTGTGATCTGTTAGGACAGGTAGGGGTAAGCATTAGAAACCGTAGAGGAGCTTGGAGTATCAGGCTGGGAAAGAGGAAATTTGGATGTATAGGGGTCGCGAGAGAAAGAAGGGTGCGGATAGGAGCGGTGAACAGGGTGGAGGACTGGAGAAAGGCGTTACAAGCGGAGTTCGTAGATATTTTCTTCAGGGAGGGCGAGGTATTGGGGGTAACAGGGAAGACGGTACACGAAGTTCCACTGAAGCAAGATAGGGTGACCTACGTAAAGGAAAGGAGATACCCGCAGGCGCTGAGGCAGCATATTCGGGAGGAATTGGAAAGCCTAAAGGAGCAAGGGATCATAGTCGATAGCACCTCGCCATTTAATAGTCCCCTGTGGGCAGTGAAAAAGAAGGCAGCGCCGGGGGATAATAAGGAAAAATACAGAGTGGTAGTGGACTATCGTAGGTTGAACGACAACACGGTAGACGAAAAGTACCCGATCCCTAGATTCGAGGATATACTTGATAGGTTGAGTGGGGCCGTGGTGTTTAGCACGTTGGACCTCAAGGCGGGATACCACCAAATACGGATGCACCCGAAGGACCAACATAAGACGGCGTTTACATTCGAAAGGGGGCATTACGAATTCACCAGAATGCCGTTTGGTCTGAAGAATGCGCCCATAACGTTTCAACGCCTGATGGACGAATTTCTGAGGGGGATCGACGACTCCGTATGTCAGGTATACATGGACGACCTGCTGATTTTTAGCAGAACGGAAGCCGAACACGTGGGGCATTTGAGGTCGGTATTCGAAAGGCTGCGACAATTCGGGCTGAAACTGTCCAGTGAGAAGTCCCTGTTGGGACAAACGCGGATCAATTTTTTAGGCCACACTATTTCTAGCGAGGGGGTCAGACCGGATGCGGCAAAGGTGGAGGCTATCACACGAATGGCGGTGCCACGGGACGTTAAAGGGATTCGTAGGCTTCTCGGGACGCTGAATTATTATAGAAGATTCGTACCTGAGATGGCAGAATACTTGGTACCTATCAATAACTTGCTGAAGAAAGGCGCGAAGATCGTGGTGACACCGGAAATGGAAAATAATATTCGGAAATGCATGGATAGGTTGCAGGCAGAACCCGTATTGGCGTTCCCGGATTTTGAGAAGCAGTTCAACGTCACCACCGATGCGAGCGAATACGCGTTGGGGGCCGTTTTATCCCAGGGCAGAAGTGAGGGTGAACGTCCGATAGCATACGCGAGCCGACGACTTACGAGCGCGGAATCACGGTACAGCGCGTTAGAGAGGGAGCTACTCGCGATAGTGTGGGCCATCGACCATTTCAGGCCATATATATTTGGGAGGAAGTTTCGAGTCCACACCGATCACAAACCCCTTCAGTGGGTAGGAAAACTTAAGGAAACCTCTGCGAGGGTCACGAGATGGAAAGAATTCCTTAGCCAGTACAACATGGAGGTGGTGTATAAGCCGGGAAAGGAAAACGTGGTGGCAGACTGGCTCTCTAGGGCCATCATGATCAACGCGGTAGAAGAGGACGGGGGAGGTCCATCGCGGGACGTGCGCCAATTCTTGAGGGAATGGACTCCTGAGGGTGAAGGGGCAGATGATACCGTCAGTATAGAGGACAGGGAGGGGTCCCCGGAAGAAGATAGCTCAGCGGAGGAAAGACCAGTGGCGATGGAGGAAATAGACGAAATCATCAACGACAAGCATAGACAGGTAATCTGGAAAACCAGGACAACAGGGATCATGAAAATAGATTACCGAAGATACGGGAAAAGTAGGATTCGCGTCATTTGGTCGCAACCCGGGGTGAGCGAGGAGCAAATCCGTACGGCACTGAAGGACGCCACGGAACCGGGAAAGACACACCATCTCTATGTTGGGAACAACACGGTATGGGAGAAAATAAAGCGGATGTGGAGATCCGAGCGAATAGGCATGGATAGAACGATCATCCGGTGCAAGTATGCAGTGGAAACCGTACAGGATGAGGAGCAGCAACAAGCAATTACATTGGCATACCACCAGGGGAAGACCAACCACCGTGGCGTCAACGAGACGTTGCAGGCATTACGGCGAAAGTATTTCTGGTGGGGAATGAAAAAATCTATCCAAGGAATCATCGGGAAATGCGAGGTGTGTATGCGCACAAAGTATGATCGACACCCCCCCAGAGGAGTTCAGGAAGAGACACCTACAGGGAATATGCCGCTACAAGACCTCCAGATCGATACATTCACCTGGAAAGGGTTCAAGTGGGTCACGATCATCGACACCTTTAGTAAAGTAGCTATGGCACATCAGGTCATCGACAAGTCTGCCAATGCAGTTGCGGAAGCCCTACAAATCTGGATACAGTTTTACGGAGTTCCCGAGAGGATCACATCAGACGGTGGCAGAGAATTCGACAATACCGCGATTAGGGAGGAGGTGAAAAGGTTAGAGGTTGTGTGGCATTATAACACACCGGGACACCCTAAGAGTAGAGGAGGAATCGAACGTTTGCACAGCACGCTGAGTGACCACATCCGTGTATATCAGGGAGAGAAAGGGTTGGAGCCGGATGTCGCGATGAAGAAAGCCGTAACAGCTTACAACCATTCGATCCACTCCGTAACGGGGTTTTCACCTGTGGAAATACTATTCGGGATGCGCAGGCCAAGGAGAGATTGGGGGGAAACAACGACCGATGAACATCTCGTAGAGCAAATCCAGAGTACTAGGGTAGAGGTAGGAAAGACGTGGGGAAAGGTAGCGGGGAGAATTCAGCGGGAAAAGGAGAAGCGGGTAGCGCGGCAGAATGTGCAGGTACGTGACCGAATGGGAGAATTAAAAATCGGAACAATAGTGTATCGTAGAATTGGAACCAACAGAGGGAAACAATTGTTACGGTACGAGGGCCCATTCAGAGTGGTTGCTATTAGGGAGCATAATCTAGTAACCATTGAAAGCATTAACGAACCTAAGAAGAGGAGAACTGTTCATATTGAACAATTGAAGCTCCCAATGTTAGAACCGGTACAGAAACCAACTGATTCGTAGTACCCTTATCGCGTATTATAAAAAAATATGTTTTTTTTATTATTATTACTGTTGATGATGTCATTTTTTTTTTCTCTCATTATTTTTGTTGTTCTTGTAAATAAAGATATGGCAGCATAATAGAGGTGATTGTAATTTTTATAGGATTAAGAGTTCTGTCCATTGTTAATAAGACGTTGTGTGTTTACTTTCTGTGGTTTATTTCTTTTTATTTATTTCTCGTTCCAGCGGAGTGGAAGTGAGGTTTGGTGTACTTTAAGTTTATACTGGTACGAATAAATTGTAAAGGGTTAAGGCTGATACCGGTGGCTCCGATCTAGGAATTTATAAGTTTCCGAAAATCCTATTCGTAAACTGGTGGGGGGGAGATAAAGACCGGAGACTGGCGATATCAGCCTTAATACCATCTTGTAATGTAAATAAACATAGCAATTGTATATAAGGCAGATTATTGAACGAATAAAGCAGTGTTAATTCAGAAGCCGTGAGTATTGTTTCTCGTTCCTCTTTCCTTCTTTTTTTTTATTTACAAAGCCCGGAGACGCTTAACTTATATATATATATATATACGTTAAATAATGTTAGTTTTCTAAAATTATTATTTATATTTTTTTCGTCACTCTCCGTTACCTTCTACAACTTTATTTATTTGATATTATTTTTTCTAAAATTCTTCGCTTTCCAACGATATATTATACGTATACCTTCTGACTGTTATTTCAGGAGATTCATTTTCAACCTGGCTAAGCATTTTTCTTTTTTTTTTCAACAGTTTCCAATTATCATATTCTTTCAAACTTCATATTCATAGCTATTTTTTATAGTTACTGTCAATAAAAGAAAGTTAATTATTTAAAATAAACCATATTAAAGGTACTTTAAAACAGAGAAAGACGTATATGAACATTGGACATTTAAGCCCCATAAAGTGACATCAATAGGGATAAGACCTAAATGATATTAAATACTACTTAATCATACCGTACTACACCGAGTTTAATCGAAATCTTTGGAGCCGTTTATGAGAAAATTGTAAAAATGTGTTTCACTGTTGATATAAAGTAGCACTTCCGGTAAGCTGATTTTAACGAAAAAATAGCTGTCACATCTAAGGCATATACATATCTTAAATACGTAATATCAGTTTCGTACAACTGTTTGTTTTTGAGCTAGACTGTTCCCATACACACAGAACATTTTGCGAGACTTGGTTTTTCTTATTTTGCAAACAAAGAAGTTCAGTTTGCTGAACTGAATGACTTCAAATACTTTTCGGTTATTGAAATAATCAATTATCAATTAATTTCATTGATAGTTACAAAACATTTCGTTTTGATTGTACTTATTTTTGTTAGTTTACTTTCAGATTTATTTGAATTGAGAAGGTTGTATACTGACCCTAATAAAAGAGACGCCAAGGAAACCACCGAAGAGTTGGAAGATGGTGTAGAAGAGGCATTTCTGCAAAGACATGTGGCCCAGGATGACTGCCGTCAAGTTGAGGGCTGGGTTCATTATAGCCCCGCTGATCGGGCCGAAGATCTGAAACAGCCATTCATAAATATTTTCCATAATATAAGTCCATAATATCTTATCTAATTAAACAAGTGCCGACTTTAGATATTTGTCGCCCTCCCCCCATTCAATGACTTAATCAATCTGTCTTTTATCTTTTAAAAAAAATCAATTCCATGCATTGTTGTATTATATATAACCAGTGGCAGATCCAGAAATTATTATAAATCCTCAATAAATATTTAAGGAAAATAATCATGAATTAAATAATAATATTATATTAATCATTGAATTAACGTAAAGAGAGACATTGAGAAGCTCAATAAGATTTTGATAAGTGAAGCCGAAAAGATTGGCCTATAAGTTAAAACAAGACAAAATATATGAAAATTTCATCCCCAATTTGCATAGAAGAGAAATCGTTTCTAAGAATACATAAATCCATATACCTAAAATAGACCAGCGAATAATAAGGATTAAAAGAAATTAATTTTGGATAGTTGAGATTTAATTACATTTTTTAAAAACCTATAATTTAATTTTATTTATTAAGAAAATTCATAATAAACCTCCCTTTGTATTACATATTATAAGTATTATAAAACAGACGCGAAAAAAATCAAGTATTCTTAAATGAAGGGAGTACAATGCTACAAATAAAGCCAGTTCTAATAAATGTCTGTAAGACTTGGTCAATAATCAGCACCATAGAAAAAAGTATTGAAATATTTTAGGGAAAAATCCTCCGCACGACAACTGTAGCGATCTGGGATCAGAGTACTAACTACAAGAAGGAGGAAGACCAATGAAGAGCTGTTTTCAGAAACTGGCCAATAAATATCTCATGATATGAAGGCATGGAGGTTAAGATGGGCGGGGGGTGTAGCTCGGAGCAATCCATCTGGAAGCGTCTACACGACAATGAATGTCTCAATAGTAAGCTAAAGACTACATGGAAAGTAAAAAAGCAGATAGATAGACCGAATCAATTATGATACAATAGAGATGCATGCTGATAGGCATTGATGAAGTAGGCTTGTTAAGGCAGTAAAAGATCTGAAAAACAATCCTTGGGGTCCATCACTATCCTTAAAAAAAATATATATATATACTTTTTTCCTACGCCTAAGTAACGCCTGCTTCATCAGCCATGCGTGCTCTTGCAGTCCAATACAATTTTGCTCTCCGAGTATAATAGCTGTCCATTTCATTAAAGCAACATCTTATGTTCTATAATGCAGGGCATGTATCAAGATGTTCTCCGTTCATCATATCCAAGAAAAACAGAGGGCATGTAGGGCTATCTTTTATACCAATGCGGTGGAGGTGCTTTTGAAGGAAATCACGTCCTGTGAGGATTCTAAAGCATGCCATGGCTTGGCCTCTAGGGAGGTCTCTCGGGATCCTGCCACTTTCTTCGAGAAATCCACTCCATCGTTTCCCTTCAATTGTTTGCACATATTTCTCTTTCAGTGAACTTTGCAGGGTCTGTTTTATAATTCTTTTCGTTGAATCCTTGCCTAGAGGAATATCTGGTTGGATCATTCCAGAACTTATTCTGAACAGTTTGTCTGCTTCATCATTTCCGTGGAGCCCGCAATGGCCTGGAATCCACTGGAAAGCGACTTCTGTCCCATTTTCCTTTAATCGGTTCAAATATAGATGGACATTTTGATTCATATTATATCCATTTTGGAGAGACAAAATGTCTGCCTGTGACTCAACAAAGAAAGCAACTTTGTTGCCTTTCCGTTCTCTCAAGGCCTAAGAGAATGGCTTTCACTTTCAGTTCAAGGTTTGTGGCTACCTTTCCGACTGGGGAAGTTGAAACTCCTTTGAATAAATTCCAGCTCCAGCTTGTTTGCCGGTGCAGAACCATCAGTATATACATGGAGTCATTCTGTCTCTGGGAATCGTTTTCCGATGGTTTCTAGGGTTATAGCCTTTTGTTCGTAAATTGGTGTTGAATCCTTAGAAACCTTCTGAAGAAGATCACAGTGAACAACAAATTGGCAGGTGAATGGAACTTCTGTCAATGACGGGAGAGGCTCCCTTTCAGCTAATTCACTAGAATTACTGACTATCTTTTATTACTGGTCTAGCCAACAAGCCTACGGATTGTTCCCCTCTATGTTCATTGGATAAGATAACAGGAGAACATCTTGATACATGCCCTGCATTACAGGACATACGATGTTCCTGTAGTGAAATGGACAGCCCTTATGCTTGGAGAGCAAAATTATATTGGACTGCAAGAGCACGCATGGCTGATGAAGCAGGCATTACTTAGGCGTAGGAATATATATATATATATATATATATATATATATATATATATATATATATATATATATATATATATATATACCCTGTGATATATATATATATATTTTTTTTTTTGAAGGGTAGTGACGGACCTTAAGGATTTTTTTTCATACCTTTTACTCCCTTAACAAGCCTACTTCATCACTGCCTATCTGCATGCATCTCCATTGCATCTTAATTGATCCGATCTATCCATCTGCTTTTTTGTCTTCCACGTGGTCTTTTGCTTACTATTGGGACATTCATTGTCGTGTAGAGAGAGGCTTCCAGATGGATTGCTCCGGTAATTACTGGCTACCCTAAAAGGACTACCTTTTCTTTGTATCAAACCTTCCACTGCCTTAGTAAAAGTAATTTGTGTTTTAAGGCGTTCAGGTGCGGGTTCATAGGTCATTATAAATCAAACAAAAAATATCGTTAAGAAATAGTTTAAGTAAATGTGTTTGTTTTTTAAAGCCCTGTAGAGTTTTAATGAATCCAATAAATGTTTATCTAGTTAGTTATATAATGAAGATTTACAATGATGGAGGTGGCGATGCCGAAGGCGAAGCTGATGACCGTGTTGAGGTGGGTGGGTTCCGCTCCGGAGATGTTGCCGACCACGTTGCCGCAGCCCATCGCCAAGAAGGTGGCCGTACCCAGCATTTCGGCCACCGCCATCCCCACCAGCCTCCTCACCTTCAGCACGTTCAAGTCCGAGAACCCATCGTCCTTCAACAGGCTCTTGTACCCTGTGTCAAACAAATAATATCTTAGAACAATATTTAATATTTTAACTGATGTCTATCAAATAGATATTTAAGATTTGCTAATAGTTCGTGCACATTGCTCTAGGTACTATCTACATCATAAACTAGACAAATACTATATGCGAGAGCATTCTATTAGGCCTTTATGTGAGATTTAGCAACAATAATATTAAAAGGTACCTAAATATCTGAGAGCCCACCTGCACGATCACGGTTAACTAAGGTCAAAAATTTCATTAAAATTAAAATTTAATGTTTTCATATAACACACTTCATATAAAATCTAACTTATATATTCATTTATTTCATATATGAATCATATGACCTGAATCATTTAACAATTATACAGATAGGCGAAGGCAAAACAGTTCAATCGCTTTTTCTGCTCTATTTCTCAACCAATTTTCTTTTTTTGTTTAGTAGCTATTGACGAGCTTTAGTGTGATCAATAACAAAACAATTGAAACAGTATCCCCATCCCCACATATATTATTACAGTAAGGCTCGAAATCGGTTTTGTACCAAATATAAGCTCCTGTCATGCTCAAATACCATGAATGGGGTACCGTTGGATTCAGAATTTCACGGGGGGTTAGTGAATCGGATTCTCCACTTTTGCTTTTCTTTCTAAAATAAATAGTCGATACAAACATTCTGCTAGGCTTCAATACTGGAACGGTGGTAGGTCTGTAGATCGAGGCGGGGCAAATTGGATCTTGAAGATTTTGATGCGTACAGCAAGGCCCGGATAGTTCCTTCGGAGCGTTTTTAAGCCCAAAAACATACTATTTTCGAGATAACGCAGGGCATAGGGTTCGTGTCCACACGTTAATGTACGCTAATTGTAGTACTGTCATTAAATACATGTCTCATTTCGTCGACTTGAGGTCTCTATGATCGAGACAAGAGGAGTTTATATTATTTGTCACTGTTTATATTATTTAAAAAATCATCGAAATCGGAGAATGTTTTACAAAGATGTAGCTTATTGAAATTTGTAAATATGGTTCTAATCAAAAATGAAGATTTGAATTAATTTTTGTTTCCTTTTCGATTATATTTATCGATAAAGTAACAATTGATTCCTTTATCTTTTGATACGTTGCATTATTTAATTTTCTTATTAATTTGGCATTTGATAATAAATAAAAATGTTAACGTTAGTTTGTTCACAACCGCTAATCTCCGAAAGTTCTTCAACGATTGCTTTGAAATTTTTATATAACGTTGAAATAAAATTCAGGAGTATTTTATATACATTTCATTACCGTCCGGTCCTTATTTTCGAAACAGCGGCCGAAAAATCTAAGTCCCAACATAGTTACAAAACTGCTGTAACGATTTTAATGAGATTTGGCTAAAGTCTTCTCCTTGAAGTCCTTTATTACGTAAACAACATACTTTCCAGAAAAGATGTTAAAAACAAAAGACAGATAGATTCTGAATTTTATTCGCGAATAACTCAAAAAGAACCCAACTTTTTGTTCATCAAACCTACGAATATTTGAAAAAAATTTTCAAAAAATAAAATCATGACCGATATGGGGTTCCCACCTTTGCCTTATTAGTTATAATATGTTTAGTTTTTTATTTTCTAAAATTTACTGTAATAATTTTTATCATAATGCTAAAAATGCTTTTTAAAATGAAAATATTTATTTTGATTTAAATTACTTTACTTTGATTTCAATTAAATTAAAAAAAAATCTATTACACATAATAAAAAACATGCGTGTTATTACTATAAAAAGTTAAGTACAGATGTAAAAATAAAATTTGAATTAAAAAAAAAAAATCCGACTACAGAAATTGGTATATTCTTTCCACCCTAAGGGAACATAATTACATACCTACTTGAATATCCTGGTAGATTGATAGTGAAATTTACATCTAAGAATATTTAAACTTGCTTTAATTGCTCGGTTCTTCTTAACACACATTACGGCTTCAGGCAAATAGATTTCGTCTCATTTCAACATCCGAGTCTTGAGTTATGATGTGGGATTGTAAGTACTCGGTTAGTTATCAGCGATTACTACAAGAAGTCTAAATATTCATTGATGTCAAATCCTCAATCAATCTATCAAGATGTTTAAGTGGGTATGGAAGTACATTCTCTTAGGGTGGATAGAATTTCCAAATTTCTGTATTTGAGTTTTTTTTTTAAATTCAAATATTTTTTTTTTTAGATTTTTAGTTTTTAAAATATTAACAATTATTTTGCATAACATATGATCATATGATATAATTTCAAATCTATTTATAATCGAGATACTTAAAACTACAATACATTTTTGTATCTCAACATTTTGAGCTCGAATTGTTTGAAATGATTCATGGGACTTAACTGAGTAATTAATATCGTCAAAGTTAAAAATCAACCATGCCATCAGCTCAAAAAATCGTTACGTATTTTTTAGCGGATTGATTAAACACAAAGTTAATTTGCCATAATTTTGAGCGAAAGCTAGGCGTCTACACCATGCTGCAGGTAATTTATCTAACCTAACTAATTTTTTTAAGGGTGCTAAAAAAAATGATAAAACAAAAATTCAATAGACCAAATGAATTACATATATTTAGCATATTGCTATAGTATAAGCACAATGTTGAAATAAAACAATTTGTACCGATGGATGAAACAAAGTGGATTAAATAATTTTTTTGAAAAAAGTGACGATGTATTCAGTATTATTTGCGATTAACTAAAAAAGTACACGATGTTATAAGTTTGTACGAATATACAAGAGTATAAAATAAATTGAATTTATTAGGAGAATCGAGGTAAAAACAAGAATGGACAAAACCAGAAATACAACTATAGGAAGCAATCTGGAAGTAAAACCAGCAGAAAATACAATAGAGGAAAACAGGCTACGCTGGTTTGGTCTTGTCAAAAGAACGCAGAAGGGAAAAATGCCTAAAATCATGTATGACGTTAGAGTGGAAGGAAGAATGCCAAAGGGAACATCCAGAAAGACTTCAGAGAGGATTTCGATAGCAGAGGAATGAACTGGAATAGACCCAGTCAGTTAGTGCAAGAACGAGATAAATGGATGGTAATCTATAAATAGGATCTTCTTTCATTAGTCCATGGTAGAAGAGAGATCGATTAAGGAGAATAAGAAAATAAATGTTGGAAACATGCAAATTCATTCATATTTCTCTCAAAGTTTCAATAACGATTATGATCAAATTTCGAACAGTCAAATACTAGTCTTTTATAATTAGTTTTGTAGTGTTGTTGAAGATGGCAGTATTTAGCATTTGAGTGATTCCATAATTGCAAGAACGGTCTTAAGATTGGCATGCAAGATAATAATGGGAAATCCGTACTCTTGGAAGGAAGAAAACATCCTGCCGACGCTAGAATTCAATTTACGGTGTTATCTTTATCATTTCTTTTAAGCATTCTTTCAAATTGAGTTTTCACAAGTTATAAATCATCGAGAAAAGAAATGAGGAGAAGAAAGACGACAGCCGCTAATAAACTGCTCATCCACTTATCGCGATGGCGATGATAAATCTCCTCGAAGGATCGTCGTGTTGCGCAACAGGACAATCCGCCTTGAGTGCTGTTTTCGTTTACGTAACAGGTTGAAGAAGTTGTTCCTGGGGATTGCCAAGTAGCTCCTGTTTGTCTCTTCGTACTAAATCTTATCTCTATCGCACGAACCGACATTGAGCCGATTAAAATGGAAGATTAAAAAAAAACGCTGCAAATTATTACACAATAGTATATCATTTCTAACCAGTTAAATATCAAATGAGGTATTTGGTTTCAAAACCGATTACATCCATTTTTTTCAAGAACATTTTTCTTTATTTTTCACAAGTTTTTAATGCCAGAAATAAGGAACATCGGAAAGCAATGGATACCCTGTAATTCCACAGTGGTCATAGACCATACTATGTCACCAGCCCAGGATGAAAAGCATGATACTTGGAGATATCGACGTAAATATGTATGTATAAAAAATCAAAATCATTCCTATATATTGTTTAGATTAATAAAAGCAATTTGTTTTGAAAAATGTCTTTTTTGTCAACCATAAACTAACCAATTTTCTGATACCGATAATCAGGTTCATCTAACATATGTTTGTATTGAATGTGATTTAAAGTGATTTGTTACTAAAAATAATGAAAACAATTTGTTGAATTGATTTCTTTTTTAAATGAAATCTTTTTTGTTTAGTCCTGAAAAGTTTCTGACAATGAATTTATCCAGTTTCGAAACCAATCGTCTCAAATGTGACAGTACTTTCCTTGTCACAGATAGGAAATACTTTTTTTCATCATTAGTAGTTTGCTTAGAAATATAGACAATCTCCATTGTTTCAGTTGATGTAAGACTTTCTAAAAAATAAGCAGCAGAACGTTTAAAACATATCTTTAAACCAATTAGTTCGATCTCAACGATTTTTTAAAAGGCAACGTCAACAAAAAAGTGTTCACTTACTTGTTGACTTTTCGAGTTATTCGGAAATCTTATATACCACCCCTCCTAACTTTTTTTCGAGGTTCTTTTTGGTGAAGTATGTTATATAGGTAAATTTAAAGGGCTTCGAGGAGGAGGCTCTTATCAAGTTTAATGGAAATCGGTACATTCTTTTAAACGTTACATTCTCTGCTGTATAGGGTTTGCTGTCGTTATCTTGGAAATAAAGTACTTTTCGGTAAAGTATGATATCTAGATAAATTTAAAGGGCTTCAAGGACAGGACTTTGACTAAGTATCATCAAAATTGGTAAATTCGTTTAGGCGCTACAAGAATTATAATTACAATTACATGCAAGATAATCGCGGAAAAATAACTTAAAAAAAAAAAAAAGAAATGAGTTGACTTTTATTTTATTTTTCTTAATATATTAATTCTCATTTTTTCTTTTAATCCTTTCATCGTTCCTGAAGATAATTTCTTAATTAATCTTTCTATATCACAGTTGAGTCGTTTAAATCCTAAGTTCGAAATTGAGATAAGT